GCTAATAATAGTTAGAATTTAGTAAAAAATATACTATTTTATAGCTACAGCTTGTTTTTACATTCTATTAAATTCTAAGCCTATTTAGACATATAGTAGTAGAGATATTGTAAATCTAATTCTATTATAATGCTCTTGAAATAGGCCTATTTATAGAAAAAATCACAAAAGTCCCTCAGACGGCTAAGGAGAGAAACGCTACTGACAGGGGTCAGAAACCGCTAACCCCCCAGGCCATACTCTATTTGGAGTAGCAATATGCATGGTGGTTTGTGCGTCCTCGGTTCTCTCCTCACGTCTGAGCTAGCTGAGATAAGGTGCCCTCACCTTCATACACAGCCAGACCTCATAACCACTACCATTCTCTAATCAAGCCTTATTTTGTAACTATCCAAATTCACAATGGATGAGGCAACCCGAAATCTCCATCACGACCTCGCTCGCAAGTTTGAGCACCATGGCTCCCGGATCGAGCAGATGTGGCGTTTTCTTGGCCAGGAACAGCGAGAGAAGATCCTTAGAGAGAGGCGTCTATAGACCGCTCTATCCTGAAAGACCCGCATGATACAAGCTTGGGCATCGTCTGCAGGTTGATACTAGAGTAGAACCTATGCGATACCACTCCAGCTTCGTCAGACTTCCTTCTCGACATTCTCACATACAGAGCAACAACCACTCCCTTGACGAATGAAAACAACATCACAAAACACGCGTTTTGACACAAAATTTATGAATTTGTATTCCCTGAAAAATGTCTGATGTGCCGGCTCAGGTTCTTAAGCGTTTTCGTCGTCTTTTGGAGAGGTTAGTATGTCCATGGTGAGGTGCATGTGTTGGTGGTAGGGCCCGAGCTTATCGGCCACTTTTTCTGCTACCAGAGTGGCCCGGCATCAGAGTCTCGGCCGAAATGGCGCACGGCCTCAACTCAACACACGGTCGACGCGTTGGAACGCTCGTGTCTTGACCTCAACCCATATACAGAGCTACGTTGTCGAGAATTCAAGGTCACCTACCGTCACATTGTCAAAATGCCAACGAGAAAGAGAGCGCTTGTAGAAGTCAATGCAAACGATTCGCGAGAACCAAAGCCAGCAAAAAGACCCAAACGCGGCCAAGAGAACGCGTCGGTACCACCAGAATTCAGGGAGAAGAGCACTGAAGCCCCCTTCACTGGCGGGCCAGCACATGTGAGTACACCTAAGTGTGTTCGCAGGTAGAATGGCTCTACAACATGCTGACACTTATATCCACAAGGAGGTGTCAACCCTACAGCTAAAGTATGTAACGTACCCTAAACCATCGTACAGCGTAGACCCGGAAGATATCGAAACAGGGAAGGAAAGCCAACCGACCGCTGAAAAAGAGACGCCGTATGATGGTAAGCCCGCTGAGGAGTTCCCGGATTGGCCCTACGTAATCTCTGAAGCTACGGCCGAGCTCGTCACGAAGTATAGCCTCGAATCTACCAAGCGTAACCAGGATATTTTCAGCATGTATGTCTCGAACGACTTTACCGGGAATGGGATGCAGGAGGTTATAGAGAACCAGCTCACAGGAATCAACACGCTCATGGCTAAGCGACGATTCCCGGCCGATGAGCTTGCTGTTGGGCTCTGGGTACGCTTGTCAGCTTTCGCCCACTGGGCTCAATCGCAACAACTAGGACCTTGGGTCATGATGGACGATGGTCAGCGCTGGGAGGACACTGTCGCAATGATTGGTATCGCAATCTTAACCACACTAAATGCTCTCGATCGGGCGAAGCTGCTGAAGAAGCACTCCCCTGTCAAGGACCTCGGTCTGGTTCTCGCACTTCTTGGAGACTTCATTTGCGACTGTCTGGATCAAACTGCGACGATTCCATATCTATCATCGAATACTAGAGAAGTCTGCTGGCCCTACAAGATTGTCTCCTATGCTAAGGCCAGCAGTATCAAGATCAAGGGCGTCCATGGCATCGAAGGGAAGTTCGTACAAAGGTTTGATAACGAGGATGAGGCGAACTATTGGAAGAGAAAAGAGTGTGTCGATCGCTGGGGTTGGGGTACAAAGGTAAGTAATATTTCATCCCAAATAACGTTGCCTAACGACCTGAAGTGGAAAATTCTCAGCAGAGAGCACGGCAGACAACACAACATATTCTATCGGGGTCCATCACTTGGAGGGAATGCCTTTGATATCACCAGCTGGCCCGCCGCTGAGAGGAGGAAGTACCACTTCGAAGACAAAGACCCCCTTGAGCCCCAAAACACTCTAGAGCCCCAAAACCCTCTAGTGTGACTCAAATGAACAGATTGTGGAAATAGTCGCGCGAAGATGTAGTCTAGACATTGTATTCCGGATTAAACACGCAGGAGTACTGGAAGTAGTAAAGTGATCCAACTATACAGTAATTAACGATTGAAGTGCTGCTACAAGTTATAGCTTGATTGCGACGCACGTACCCCAACTCTTTGATCAACGCACGTATTTATCACGACATACGAATTACGGGAGAGGAGATCACTATTATCCGTCGTATATGAGAAGGTCTACGCAACTCTCGTCACAACAAACTAAAGAATCACCGCATCCTTTACCGGCCACACTGTATCTTCCTAGCAAGAGCAAGCCGCTTTTTTCCCTTTTTTGGTCCTTTGATGTCAGCGTGAGACGCGGAGGCCCCAGCGGAAGTGAAAGTCTCCTCGAGTTGGGCCGGGTTAGGAAATTGATATCTAAAATGTTTAAAAAAAAAAAGCATCAATTTTCTGCTATCCGCTCCATCTTAGATTCCACCGCTTTCATCTAACATGTGACCCAGGTCTATAGCAGATATCATTGAATCGACTTGAGCATGTCAGTCCGAAGCTCTTAGTCGTATTTTGCCTCGTAGTCTTCCTTTAATATCCAATTATTGATTTCGTTTGTTATATGTGGACTTCGTCCGCATTTCACGATCCTGGTCCGAGCGTCGTCCGCATCCTCCATCCAGACGCCAACGCGTCCAGCTCCGCCTAATAAGAGAATGCGACGATACTATAAGACATGGACTCCCCCCATCCCCCAACAATACCCCCAAATTCTCTCAGCAAACCACAACCATGGCCTTCTCTCCCATCCCCGCAACCATGAAAGCCTGGACATACTCCCGCCCAGGCCCGCACCGGAAAGTCCTCTCGCTCATAGAAGTCCCAACGCCTCCTCTCCCAACCGGCAGCCAACTCCTGTTCAAAGTCGCCTACGCGGGAATAGATCCTTCCAACACCGACGTGATGAGAATCCTACCCTCTCTTCTGGTGCGAAAGAACGCCATACCCGGAAACGAGTTCTCGGGAACCATCATGGCCCGTGGTCCCGACGCACCGGACCACTTCGCAGTAGGCTGCAAAGTACTCTGCGTCCCTCCCAACGATGTGATTCTTAGAGGCAGAGGCCCGTTCTGCGAGTACATTTGTCTCGACAGTAAGACGAGCGCCATCGCACTTGTGCCTGAGGGCTTGACCATGGAAGAAGCATCCTGTATCGGACAATGCGGTATCATGGCCATGCTGATCCATAAGCACGGGAAGCTCCACCAGGGAAACGGATACCGGATCTTGGTCAACGGTGCAAGTGGGGGCTGCGGGTCGATGTTCGTGCAAGCGGCCGTTGCTATTGGCGCAAAAGAAGTCGTGGGAGTATGCTCAGCGCCGAATGCGGAGTTCGTGCTGGGCTTGGGTGCAAGCAGGGCCATTGATTATCGCACGAATACCCCACTGCACGAGTATTTGGCGAAAGAGTATGGCACCCGGCCGTTTGACTTCGTGCTCGATACTATCGGGGAGCAAGAGCTGTATACGAGGTCCCCGGGATTCTTGAAAGAGAATGGAGCATTCTTGAACATTGGGAATTATGCACATGGCAGGTTTTGGATGTTGGTGTATGTGATTCTCAACATTTTCTGGCCGTGGTGGCTGGGTGGGACGCCGAGGAAGTTTATCATTTTCGCTCCACGACGGGATCCGGAGCTTATGGTCAGGTTGATGGGTCTTGTTCATGATGAGAAGATTAAAGTTCATATTGAGAAGGTATTTGCGTTTGAGGAGTTGTGCGATGTGAGTGTCAGATTGGATTTAACGATCCCGATTACTGACTATACACACAGGCGTTAGATCTCGGAGACACGAAGAGAGTCCGTGGGAAAATGGTACTTAGGGTTTGCGGAGATTAGATTCTGTGGAGTGTTTGTATTGGAAAGCTTTTCGCTGTTCATGAGCTAAATAAAGGTGTGACTACTAATTACTCTAATTTTTTGTAAACCTTGAGTCTATTAAGCACCCGCGAACCAAGCTAAAAAAAAAAAAAAAAAAAAGGACACTGCAGGAAAGTCCACCACTTATTTTTAAGTCGGTGGAAAGAAGCAGAGGAGCTACAAAAAGCAGTAATGAAAACAGCAATCAGGCTGCTAGGAGGAGACCACCGAAACACGCTGATCAGTATGGGCAACCTAGCGTTAATATACGGCAATCAAGGCTGGCGGAAGGAGGCTAAAGAGCTGGAAGTGCAAGTGATAGAGAAGAAAAAGAGGGTGCTTAGGGAGGAGCATTTAGAGACGCTGACTAGCATGAACAATCTCGCGTTTATATTAAATAGTTAGGAACTTATAAATAAAGCGATCTTACTATTAGAGGACAACTGCAGCCTGCAGACAGTAGTTTTATGTCCTTAACATCCCTTTATTATATCATCTCCTGAAACTCTTACAACGTAGCAGTTAGAGGCAATGGAACTTAGGAAGCAAATTAATACCTAGCAAGAGAGAGGTATAGCAAGCAGATAGTCTCTAAAGCGGCAGGCTAGATGTAGCATAAAAACAGCGTAGCTAAAGTACTGCGGTTCGCTTAGAAATCATTATAAGGTGCAGCCTATGTGAGATAATACTTCAAGTTACCACCGCTAGCAGGGAGGATGGCCGACCCGCTCCGGTCATGACCTTGTCTGGGAGGCGTTGAAGTTATGTTGGTGTGGAGGAGGAAGAGGTCGGAGTAGACCTTAAATATCACCACTTGTGGCGAGTGGGCGTTATGAGACTCAGAGATGACGAGATCGGATTGCAGGAGGACGCCTGACCTGGTCTGGCCATGACCTTGCGTGAACGGAGTTGAATTTGTTCTAGTGAAGATAAAGAAGGAGGTTGAAATCGGAATCAGACATCGCCACTTGGATAGGCGTTGCGAGGGCCCGAACACGCTCTCGGCTGCAAAACCAGATGGGGTCTCGGCAGAGGGGAATGATATTGGATCGGGCCGCTAAATACACGAGGCCCAATGCTGGATTTAAACCTAAAGAAGACTTGTGGTTCGTTACGTCAATTAATAAGAGCACAGGAATCCTAAACTGCTCAACTGCCTTAGTCCTCCCAGAGGGCTCGTCGTACAGACTCTTCACGCCTCCTAGATTGCCTAGTAAAGAAAGGTTTGCTGGCCAATCAGGGCATTGGAATTGTTGGATGCGACACAAAATAGAAAGCTAGTGCTATTACTAATTGCGCTCATGCACCTATGAACCAATATGTAATAAAAACATAAAATAATCATTTAATTGCCTCTACATAAATGCTACTAAGTTCTTCAGATTCGTCCAACTTAAAGTTGTATATCTATACCTTTCTAGGTCCAACGCTAGTGCCGGTCGTGTTTCCCGATACGGCTGAACATGACGGCTGATACTCTGAGGGTAGCCATACTAAGTTCTCTGAATTATATGTAATCCAAGCTCCGCCTGAACCTAAAGCCCAACCTTGATATTAAGAATTTTAGGAATCAGTAACACTCCTAATCATTTTTAAAGTCCTTAATGCATCTATAGTAACAGTACCAATCTTAGTGTAAAGGTAAAGGCTGGTGGTATCCATCGATATGTTAAACAGTGTCTTGCTAATACTGAGCGTCTGCAGACACTCCCCATCGATTGCATCCCAAATCTTGATTGTACGGTCCTCCGACGCTGATGCGAGTCATATGGACCGGCGTGAGAAGTCAACCGACCGGACCGGTCCGCTTTGGCCTCTGAGCGTCTGCAGGCACTCACCACTGATTGCATCCCAGATCTTGACGGGCTTAGATACACTTCACCAATCACGGAAATGGAATATATGGTTAGCATAAACATGATATCTAAGAAGAGAGTAGTGTTTCTAAACACCAGATTTGCGAGCCTACCCTACAATCATCTCTGTATTCTCTAGTCAGTCACGGCATTCCTTCAATGCTTTGCCCAGAGCGTAGTCACAGAGTACATTTTGCAGGAACCATCCTGGATAGCACTCAACCAAGTATCATAGAGTTTTCGGCTGTCCGGCAGACCTCCCCTTTCACTGCGTCTGAATGCGTTCTTTAACGCGGCCCTCAGCGTTGCGGAGCACATCTTCTCCAGATCGAAAAATTTGGTCGCCTAGTACATTAGCACTTCGTCCTAAGTGTCATATGACGGCTTATAAAACTCAGGCTGGTGAAGACCACGAATTCAGATTTCTTTCTGCAATTAGAGCGTTGTCCGTTTAAACTAGTAGAGATTTTTTGCAGACTTTAACACGTCTAAGAGCCTTCGTCCCTGTCAAGGAGCGGGTGGCCAAATGCTTGGATGTGGATTTTGGCAGAGACTACTCAGAGAGCAAGATAGTGGCAGATTCATTAGAGTGATCGGAGTCAACGGCCATAATGTTACCATCATTTAACGATGGTTGTCCTCTGAACAGTGTTCCAGAGTCAGCCACGGCCATGATGTCGTGATTATCTGGGGTTGACGCCTCCGTCGTGAGTGAGATTCCAGGATCGCTGAAGAGAGACGAACAATTGGTACCCATAGTGGTCCCCTTTGGCGTTGACTGCTCTATATGCCGGACGAAGTGCCAGAAGCGCCTGAGGGACGTGAACAATCGATTACCATTACGGTCTTAATGGGAGTGGACTCCCCTGAAGCGTGCCCAATAGGCCGTATTACTGTACGATTAGGAGAATTTGAGGCCCGTTTTGTTCCCTACGATGATGTAATTGACCAGCTCTAGTCGCAGAGTTCGACAAATAGTTACCATGTTTCTCATCCAGTCGGGGCCGCTTTCGTTCCCTGCCAGGAAATACTAAGGCTCTGGTGCTCAAGCTGGGTCCCAGAAACCTTAGGGTCCTGGCAACGCGCTCCCGGCAAGTGGGCGTCTTAGGAAAATCGTCCCAGGAAAATTAGCGATAGAAGCGAGCCACCTCTATGATCTAAGTAACATGACTTTCTTGCTTTTCCCAACTCAACGTTAGGGAGGTGTTGCGCAACAATCGGCACAGAAGACACTCGCTACTTCCTTGTTTAAATCAGTGTCTTTGCTAAGGGCTTTCTGTGTCTGATGCAGGATGAGGTTATAAACTATCTAACGTGGCATGCTAAAGTAGTACTACAAGTATAATGAATCTACAAATTATAAGAATTAAAGCGTACACTGGCTCAAGGCGTCTACTTATGGAACAAGAAAGTTTGGCAGAAGCTGTACAACAGGAAATGCGACTGCATGGCCCTAGCAGAAGCGCATGACATCGTTTTAAACCCCAGGGAGGTTGGCTACAGAGGCTTGCGTGAGTGACTCATCGTGCGGGCTGAATAAAGTGTGCTATTCTTTGGATGACAAGTATGAGTTATCTTGATCTTCGCCGATGAACGAGGCGAGGATTACGCGGCGAATATACGCAGAATAGCAGGCATGATTTTGATTCTTTCCCATCCGTCTTCGCTGGCTTCTACCATGATGGTCATTAACAAGGACTGCAGAGCATCTGCCGAAGTTGAGTTCTATGATACATACCGCCAGGCTTGCAGGTCACCTCATGGGTCACAGCGTCCTGGAAGCGCTGTCGAATCTTGCCGGTCCTCTCCGGAACACTGGTACGAAATTTTTTCTGCAACACTCCACCGCTGGCGCATAGTACCTCGCTCTTATGACCTTGAATAGCTGGTACATCTTGGTGATCTCCTAGGATCTGCTTAGTGAAGGCCAAATACCTTTCGTCACCATCATGGTTGCCCATACGTGCTTTACCGAGGACCTACTTCGCAGAGTGCTTTTTCTCTTGATAGCGTTGACTCTCGTTCCTTCTCTAGCTACTGATGGTGCTCATCGTCCTCATGATCAAAGTCGAAACCTTACAACTCCAGGCCTTGGCCCCGCTTATCTGATCTCCGTGACAGCAAATAATTTGCACATGAAGACCCCCCTACCATAGTGTAAGCTTGGATGGGGCATGATTATGAGAGAATTAATGTATTATGTACTAAGGGTCTAAGAAGCTACATAATTTATATAGTGTGTTAAGACGCTAAGCCCAAGGTTGATTGAGCAACCCATCGTAGAGCCATAGGGTTTACACATGGACATCTGCCACTTGGAAAAATCCGAAAAGAATTGTTGAAAGCTGTTCACTATGTACTTGCACCGTCAAAGGGTCTTTCACCTCAAAGATATGGTCCTTTCCCAACCCAGTAGTATCACGAGGAGATATGATCAACCAAATTCCACAACAAATGGATATGGCTAATCTCACAGTTCAGCTCGCTGTAGTCATAAAATAAAAGGATATCTTCCCTGATTTGGAGGGCGTAGCAACTACCAACTCCAAGGAACAAAAGTAAGGAAACACTTCGCAGGCTCAGAGACTTTGGAAAGACTAACTCCTACGCCCCTTGCTCTAGGTAACAAATCAAAACGAGATTAACAGAGGTCATAAGACCCTCCTGCTTACCGAGCGCCGAGCTGATCTGAGGTTACAGTAGTCGGGCCTGCCAAGGACTGAGCGATAGAGACCTTCAAATACTCTCGCTCGGGAATAGAGATGAAAAATGTACTCTGCCCCCGTAGTTAATTGCCACACTGAATCCTCAAAGTTTGTCCTATAAGTGTTGAGGCTAAAAGCCTTATAATCTTTGGTCTCTTGATTGAAGGCATGCCCCTAGCCACTGAGAACTGGCATGCCAGCGACCAGCCTGAAAAGGCGAGTATGCAATTGAACGGGGTAACATGAGGTGCGTTAAGAGCTAGGCCTGGGACACTGATGAAATTCATGAGTGGATCAAGTTGTGAAGAGGTAGAAAGCTGAAGGGGATAGGCTGTCAGTGTATGCCTGGTGCTTCGCGTGAATCTTGTGAGTGAACTAATGTTTGAACAGGTGGGGAAGGGAAGGGCAGCATACTTCAGGGTCTCTAGAGCAGCCCTCAGTCGTTCACAATCCTTTAACAGAAGGTTATATAGTGGTAAGTCGCCAGCTGTACTGGCAGGTGAATATGTAATTTACGGCGCTGATTCTCCTTCCATATTTGACTCCACTCCAGAGGGGACTTCTTAAGTTGAATGCCTCCCTCACGATGGACATCCCCCTTACAGTTTCGATGGCCTTCCCTAATCCGGCAAACAATAATAAATACTCTTACAAGTCACTGCCCCATCACTCACATCTAACCCTACCCCATATAACACTCTCTTGTTATCCTTATAACACTTAAACCTATGAAAATCATTCTCTGCAGTCCCTACTTGCGTAAAATCATTTTTGCTCTGGGCATCCTTTCCAATCCACGCTCGGAATTCGACCAAGCTACCCCGTGAAGTGAACTGACAGTAGGCTTCCACCCCCTCCCATACGAATGCCCCATAGTGACCATTAGAAGGATCAGTCATGTAGCACCTCTCTGTGGGGTAGTTATGGTGTTGCGAGTTTCGACCGGCGGCGTAGTAGGAGAGTTCGGAGTAGTAGGAGCTGCCGCGGGGGTTGGAGGAGTCGCAGTTCGTGAGGTAAACTGTTTCGGGGGGTGTGCGGGCGAATATCTGAGGGTTTGTGGCGAGGGTAGGAAGGAGGAATGTAGAGAGGGCGAAAATGCCTAGATAAAGGCGCATCATGACGAGATACTTCGTAGAGTGAAGGTGATTCAGTATCAGGAAGTATTGGACTGATTGGGTTTCACAGGACGGGAAAAGGAATCTTACTTATAAATAAGTGGTTGTGGCAGGAATGTGAGTTATAATGTCAGCTTTCTATTTTGCCCCTTTCACTTTGCCTTACTTATACACCTCTCTGCGCGACTTCTATTCTTAGCTGAGACGAAAGGACCGATAGGCTCGTTAAAACCTCGTTTCTTTGTATTTCTGCTTATTTATCATTATGCCGTTGTTACGGCCGAGAGTTTAAACCTTATTGATCTATGGCAAATGATGCGAATATTCCTAAGTTAGGTCAGCGCTGAGATGTAGGAATCCTGTATTAGACTCCAAGCGAACTGAACTTTTGACATAGTTTTGTTCTTTAGAGTGCTAACGAGAAGGCAGGAAGGAAAAGAGCAAGACTAATCAACTACTCTAAGATCTATCAGGCTGTTACAATGAGGTCTTAGTTCCGAAGTATACTCTCTAGCTTAAGTGATAGCTCACACTATGCCTTCTAAATGAAAGCACTGCCCACAGAAACCTTGATTCATCCCACTTACGCAGGAAGGCAATAGTAAATACTCCGACAATCCCTGCCCCCATTCCCAGTGTAATACCAAATCGTCCTCTTGTTATCCTTGTAACAATTGAACCCATGAAACCCGTTATTCGCCCAACCCACCAGCGTGAAGTCTGACTTGCTCTGCGCATCCTTGTCAATATGGTATGTCACCACCGTCCCACTGCTAGCAAACGTCACTGAGTTCTGCGCACCCTCCCAGACTTGCGCGTGGTCCGGTCCCGCAATGCGGACGTAGTCGTCTGGGTAGTTTTCCTGGATGGTGCCTTGAGAGTTGTGCCCGGCTTTGTACCATTCGACTTCAGAGTAGTATTCGTTTATCCCGCCTGAGTGCGAAAAGTGGCAGTTGGCCAGGTAGATGGTTTCTGGAGCCCCGCGTTTGGCATTCTCCGGGGTGACAAAGCTGGTGGAGAGGGCAGTGAGGCTAGCGAGAGTAGCTAGGGCTGCCGTGAAGCGCATTTTGAAGGTTGGGAGAAAGACGAAGATGGTTGGAACAACAGAACCTTTCTTGTAGTAGATTTATCAAGAGATAGTAATCTATAGTTTGGAGGTGGTTTTCCGAACTTCTCGGGTCTGCCTCATTCTGTGTATATATACTCTGCCATTCTCCGTCTCCTTTTCGAATATGTAATTTTGAGACTCTAAAAATATTTGTATTAACAAGCTCCTCATGAGGCATCTCAAAAACGACAAAGTTTGTTTCTAGCATGCTGCTCAAGCACTATTGCCCAGCAGTGTGGCTGCTGAGCTTACGTTTCCCGAAGTAGTAAATATGCGGAGAACTGAAGCATGCAGGTACCATCAGCACAACCAGGCTCCTGGATCGATTGGCTTATCGAGTTCTGTTTGCCTTACGGTTCGTAAATTAATTTTTGTGCGCCCTGTAAACTTTGCGCTCTTCAGCTGAATAAGTGAGGTGAGTATCAGGGCGGAGCACTGCACGCATTTCGACTCAGGAGTGTGGTCTATCGAACTTGTTCTTGCATACCAGGGAGTGTCAGAATTCTCGAGGTTCCCCAGGCAAAGACTTCTAGCCATGTTCTCCTCAGTTCCGACATGCCTCATTCGATGTGATGAGAGACTAGTCAATAGTGAGAGTGGTAGAAAGCCGGTGGATAGTCGGATGTAGTTCGCAAAGAACCCTGGTTTGTTTGCAGTGTACTACTAAGGTTTATTTTATAGTCGTAGCAGATTGTGCAAAAAGCTTGCGTTGAGTAAGCCTGAGTTCAGACGAGCTTGATATAAGCTCGTCGCGTTTATTATAGTCGCTACTCGGGAAGCCTTCCGCGCCGGACGGTGTTGGACTGCTGGTGACTAATCACAGCGCTTGTTCATCTCATGTCATCCTGTGCGCCACACCATCAACGCGAAGCCCCGCACGTGTCTTGCCTTGAGCTCCCAGAGCAACTTACATTCAAGCTCTTGCAAAGCGTCGCATCAACGCCACAAACCACCACGTCCATTCTCTCACAGCCGGGAAAATGGCAACATCAACAGCGGCTACTCTGCCGAAGGGTTCCCCATTGCTACCGCCAGCGCCAGCCCCGCCAACCCCGCCAGTGCCACAATCACGATTTCTCGCCCTGCCCACGGAGATCGTGATAGATATAGTCGCTCACCTCTCCGACGACCGCAACGCACTGTGCAACCTCGCTCGAACTTGCCGCTTCCTTCAACCACTTAGCGAGGAGCACATGTACAAGTCCGTCGAGCTGTTCTCGACCAATGTCATTCCCTCGCTGCTCCTCGCCTTCGCCCATCGACCTGCCCGCGTCGAAGCTGTGCAGTCGCTCAAAATTCTCTACAGATACAAGCATGACTTAGGAATCACCCTGTCTGATCGGAAGGCCTTGAATGCATATGTCATCAAGATGAAGGGCTTGAAGGATTGGCATGTCGAGAGCCCATATGACAACTTCAAATGGGGAGATGTAGGACACGAGTGGGTCGATCATGACATGGAGCACTTTCGGAAAGCCCTAGAAAACTCCTGCCTCCATTCAGGGCAACCATTGTGTGCTGATGTTGGCTTAGCAAGGCTAGAGAAGTGTAAGTCGGCCAGCACCTGGCTCTAAAGTCGCCAATGCTGATCATATCCCTAGTCGTCCTCCACTCACACGGCCCCCATTCCGACTTTTGGAATCTGGGTGGCTTTCATTGTCTATTCCGGCATCCTTCACTTCGCTATCTTCATGTTTCCTGCGTCAACCTTGACTGTGGTCTCTCAGAGCTCGAAAATTACCAAGGCACGACACCGCTCACAACCCTCATATTCGATGAATGCGACATCTGGTTCGATTCCCTTATGGGTATCATGCGTACCCCTAAATCTCTCAAATCTCTCACGCTCGGCGAAAATGTCCACAACAAGCGTGACAGGCTCCCTTCGCCGAAGCTGTCAGCACAGCCCGAGGTGACATTAGAAGCATTGGCGCCAGTCGCACACTCCCTGGAAACGCTGGTGCACTTCCATCCCTCATGGTCGACGAATTTCGACCCAGAAAATTCTAGAATGATCAAGCTTCACGGAGACGGTATGCGGAAGTTTCACGCCCTAAAGTATCTAGAATGCGATCCCTGTTCCTTCTTCTTCCGAGGCGTCTTACTCAATCCAACATTAGCTCCCCCAAATCTGGATACCTTCCGAATGCGACGCCCGCGGACAGGAGTTGAAGGCAACTTCTTCGACCAACTCCCTGATATTAATCCCTACCTTCGCCTTCCATCTCTCAAGACATTTGAGCTCGTGCAACCGTCGGATGACATGATTTCACCCTGGGCCATCTCAAATTACGTATGCGAGTGCGAGCGGGTCCGAGAGCGCCATGCTCATGGGTTCAAGCTCCATCAACATGGAATCCAGATGAAGATGTACATCGAGATCATCCTCAAGAAAGGCCTGATCCCTCCGTATCTTCATGGGGAGGCAGTGCCTCGACCTCTATGCCTTTACGACTCTGAGAAGGTTGGCTTTTGTCGCGTGGTGGATGATAGAGGAGAGGATGAGTGGGAATTAGATCAATACGGTCCTATGAACATGATCCATTGCAACCAGGCCGAATCTTCCCTCGAATCTGTTACGGAAAGAGATCACGGTCCCGAGTCCTTCGAATTTCAGGGAGAGAATTATCGACGACCCACTCCCGACCCGACCACAGAGGGAACTGACAAGAAAGTCCCTGTCGAGAGCAAGGACAAGCCCTCACAGCCCATCATAACCGACGAGCTCGGCCGACGTGACATCCTACAGATGAAGCGCGACATCCGCCGCACCCTCCTCAACTTCATGCTCCCCGAACAAACCCTCGATCTCGATGATTCCGAAATGGACTCTATATATGCTTCCGATTCCGACGACGGCTTAGATCTTGACGACGAGTTTCCTGACGATCTCGACGGCTTAGATGAAGATTATTTAAATCACTTAGAGGCTGACGAGGAGTTTCTAGATATGGATTTCGCGGATACGCATGACTACTTTTGGTGACTACATGGCCGATTGCAGTGGCGTTCTTTGAACAGGATTGGGTGTTGTGTGTGGGAGATCTGCGGGGTGGTGATGTTCTGCTTGGGGGTGGAAGTTTTGAGAGAGTCTCTGAGAGGAGGTGGGGGCTGAGGACGCTAAAGCCCTGTGACCTGCGATTATGATGGGAAAGCTGCCGAGAGGGAGGAATTGCAAAGGAATTCGGTGATTTCCTAACTTTCCATGCGTTCTTTCGGTCTCGGACAGATTGCGTAGGCTCCACCCCTAGCACTCACTGACTGTAAGTCACGGGAACTTTTAACTTCATCCTGGTATTCATGATTTTACGAAATTGCGACGGTGTGGATCTCCTTAATTGATTGAGGCGCGAATAAAAAATTTCCATCATTCTCAGACAAATTGATTTTTCCAAAATGTATCTGCGAGGAACGAGAAATGGGTTCCAGTGCGCTAAGGAAGAGAAGGGACTGAATGATATGTCTGGCTCTTCGAGTCAAGATGGGGAATATGGTTCGATGCCTGTAAAAGCCAAAAGAAATTATACTCAGATTCAATCAAGTATCCAGAGACGCCGAAAGGATAGACAATCAGAAGGCCAAAGGGAAAATATCGGGTAGAAAAGGGGGAGGAATGCATGAGAAGAATGCACAACCGTATTCCTAGCTAAAGACTCTAGTTAATGATACCGGCCATATGCAAATCGTTGCCTCACCCAAGGTTGATGGTAGGACGAGTAGTCTAAAAGTACAACAGTCAGCATCCAAATTACTCCGAAATTACTCCGAAAGTGGATATGACCTCACCTCTCTGCCCAGATAACCCCAGCTGTGAAGCAACATTGACATACCCCTCTGCATTCCTCTCTGCACTCTGCAAATCCGCCTCCTTCCCCACAAAACCACCCTCACTCCAAATAGCTCGACAATACGGGCAAGTCGCTTTACCTTGCTTAGCCCGCGTCCAGTTTTCCATGCAGTCCCTGTGGACGTTGTTGCCGCAGGCCACTTTACAGTAGACGATGGCGTCTTTGTCTAGTTCGAATTCTGAGTAGCAGATTGGACAGTCGCCTTCGACTGGTTTGCGGTTACCACCACAGTGGTCGGCTTCGGTGTCCGCTTTGGGTATGGGTGCGGCATTTGCGAAGATATCTCGGAGTTCGGAGGATGTGAGAGCTAGTTGGAAGCTGATATTTTCGGGGGCTTTGAGGACGCGGAGCATGACCTAGGGTAGTCAGTAAGGTTGGTACTTCCGTACGGCGGTGATTCTAGGCAGGGTGTGAAAGTAAATAGATTAGGCGTACGTAAATGATATGCTTGCACTGGTGGCCCTTGCGCGCGTGTGGACAGTCGCATGTTGGAATGAGTCCAATATGTACCGAATATATATTTCCTGTCGTACCAGCGATCAAGACCTTTTCTTCGGGCACGTCATCAGTTCCACATCGCTCGCGGTGCTGGATCGTAAGTCGCTGCGTAAGAGCGCGAGCTTTGATTTCTAAGTAGGACTGCGGCGGACGTGCCCTGTATCTGTTCACACTATGAGCTCTTATTCAAATGGAAATAAGAGGACTTACCGCCTCTGCCTCTTCTCTGTGAATTCGAATTTAAGTTCGCCGTCAGTAGTAGCTGCCTTTTTTCCTTTTCTCCTTGATGCGTTCTTTGGCAAAGGCTCGCTGTTCGTGTATCGGGTGCTCAAGTCAGGGGTCTCGATGGTCTTTGGTTTCTTGATTGGAGTTTCTTCACCACAGCAGGATCCCTCACCATCGGATTCATCATAGTTGATATGTTTGCGCTTCCGTCCTGGCATCTTAGTCTGATCTTCGGACCTGGGACTTGCTACAGGAATCCCTGCTACCTCTCCCATAGACAAGACCTTAAAAGGGAACATCTTGGGAGCGTGATGAATTGAGAAACTCCGTTGGACTCAATGAGAGAGGGTGGTTGCAAGGTCTACGTAATGAAGTTGACGGAAGCACCAGGCCTTTATGGATTATTGATGGAGTTGTATCATCTGCTGACCGACTGCTAGTGGCTTGGCATGCCGCGTTCACGCTGCGAAATCATGTGACAAAGAATATTGTTTGCAGAGAGATCGGGAATTGAATTGATGGAAAGTGCTACCATTAAGTGTATGTATAGTACTAGAGGGCCGAAAATGAGGGAGTCGGTGAGAAAATTGCTGGCATGGCATACAAGGTACAGGTTATATGCACAAAGTCATTCGAGATTGCTATCACATCTGTTGAAGTAGATTCGCAGTCGCACTAATCTCGAGAAACTATGGTATGAAGGCAGGTCGGGTTCCCCAATATTCTACTTTCGACAAGGTCTCAGTTGAAGGGACTTACTCAGATTAGCCTTCGCTGCAGAGCACTTGATCGGTCGATGAGAACTCGCAATTTCGATACCAGTAGCGAAGCCTGGGATAAGCCTTTGCAATATGGCTGGGAATGCTTTCTTAATTCTGCAAGCTTTGACTGTATAGTATAAACCTAAGCCAAAGAGAGTCCGCTTAAATTGGTGCCTTACGGACACGACCTTTTGCTCAAAATTTAAGAGCTCGTCCTCATGATCCCCATGCCCTAGGCGTTGGCATAGCCCTAATTAAATGGAGCTAGCTAAGTGATATTCACGCCCACTCTACAGAGTGACTCTGAAAGACTATTCAGCAGGGGAAATTTATGTGGGTTCGAGGAAGGTTCGTGGCTTAGAAATCAGATGTGCGGGAATGGCGACGGGAACCTTTATATGAACCTGACGCAAAAGTTGTAAAGCAGGCTACACTGAAATTGAGACGGACGGAAGATATTGATACATGAGGAAAGTGCACCTAGGCAGAAACGGGCGACCTTCGAGTGGTGGCTGTTTGCTCTAACTGAGAGGGGAATAGTGTAGTATCCTTGGCGCTGGAGCTTAATGCAGCCTTCACAACCTTCCCTTTCATCCTCAACTCTCCCGCGATCCATCACCTTTTTCGTCAAGACCCAGTGGAATGAGAGGCTGGGCACTCACACCACTCTAGGGTGGAAAAGCTTTTGTTCGCGACACGAAATGCGCTTCCAAGACTGCAATATTCCCGTCCCATTCATCTTTATCCAACATCGAATCTTATTACTCTCTAGTGAACGTGTGCCTATCTTTAGGAAGGAGAAAAGCTTAGAAGCTTTGAAACTTTTGAGATAAGCAACTCTGTACGCATGTCGACAATTGAAGACGAGTATAATAGCTTTCTCAGCCAGATTCCAGCTCTATTACTTTCATACCGAGCTGCCCAGGTCCCTGAAAAAACGGCATGTGGATAGGTGTCTCGCTATGACACGCGAGATTTCATATATAATTGACTACTACGATTAAAGAATTACTTCTCTATACGGAAGCCAAGATGGAGCGCTCCCACTATATTTTCCACATTGATCACTCCCCTTTCCATCTTCAAACGAGTGTGGAGTTCATGGCCCTGGAAATTAATTAGTCCAAGGCGGACTTAATAAAGCCGAGCTGCTCATAGGATCTGCAATACTACCGGCACTAACGTACCCCGCAGCCACTCCCGGTCAATCCCAGCGCTGTTGCATCACCGCACTGATTATGCTCAGGGGCACGAACGCACGACTTCCGCGTTTGGATAAATACTGGCCGCGCCGCGATGACTACCGACAGTAGTTACACATTCGATTACTACCTGCCAAGTGCGGTTGGATTAGCTTTCATAAGAATGCGGGGCCCCCCGACATGTCCCTGTTGGGCTCGAAGCCTTTCTTTCGCTCAATTTTTCGTTCCTGGGTGACGCTCGCTGAAAAGTGTTTGAAGATGTCTGTTCCGTGGAAGAAAGTTCTGTCGGTCGCCTATTCATCAATTGCGCTTCCAATTGCCTTCGCGCAAAGTAAATCTGGGTTCGACTATGTTGATCCGCTCATTGGGACTACCAATGGAGGTAACTACTGTGCGTTTCGAACTGGACCTTTCGAGGGTAACAATTTCTAGGCCATGTTTTCCCGGGCGCAACGTTGCCGTTCGGTAAAAAAACTCTGAAACCCTTCTAAATTTCATGCGATTGATGCCTCTCATAGGTATGGCAAAGGCCGGTGCAGATGTCAATGGCGAGAATCAAGGTGGGTTTGCTTCGGATGGGAGCAGTATAATTGGCTTCTCGCATATGCACGACTCCGGGACAGGTGGAGTGAGTCCTTTTATTTAGTCCCGGTCGTATACATGGCGAGAGAGCTTCGAAGCTGACCATTTCAGTCGCCTTCTTTAGGAAACTTTCCGATCTTTCCTCAAGCCGGCTGTCCGAATGGCGACCTCAACAATTGCAACTACACATCTTGGGAACGCCAAACCCCGCGCATCAACGGGACCGTCAAAGCTCACCCAGGGTACTTTGCAATAACCCTAGAATCTCAAATCCAAGCCGAAATGACCGTAACGAATCATACTGCGCTCTATAGATTTACATTTCCGGATAAACCAATCACACCAAACACTACGTTAAGCCCTTTAATACTGGTAGAACTTTCTGATCTGCCACAGTCCAGAACTAATGGAAACATCTCTGCTCACGCATCGGGTCGCATCACAGGCAGCGGTACATTCTCTCCTAGTTTTGGTATTGGAAGCTACCAGTCCTATTTCTGCCTGGACTTTGACGGCGCAAACCTCAAGGATGCTGGTGTTTTTGCGAACTCACGCGCAGGAAGAGAGAAGTCTCTCAGCGTTCGAGCAGACGTTGTGGACAATTCTCTCAACCTACGACCCGCTGGTGGCTGGGCCCAGTTCGAAGAACCCAACAACAACGGACAGATTCTTGCACGCGTCGGTATGAGCTTCATGAACGAAGCTCAGGCGTGCGCAAATGCTGAAAAGGAGATTCCCGATTTCGATTTCGATGGTACGCTCGAAGCCGCCGAGTCCGCATGGAGGCAGAAGTTAGATGTCATTCAGATCGAAGATGGTGGTGTCAGTCAAGTCCTACTGAAAGCGTTCTGGAGCGGCGTCTATCGCAGTATGATCAGTCCCCAGGACTATACTGGAGAAAACCCAAAATGGCAGAGCAGCGAGCCATATTACGACTCCTTCTACTGTATTTGGGATTCCTTTAGGAGTATTCATCCGCTTATAACACTCTTAGACCCTCACTCTCAGACGCTGATGGTGAGAACACTTTTGGATGTTTACAAGCATGAAGGGAAATTACCAGATTGCCGGATGAGCTTCTGTAAAGGTATGCTGGTATCCCTGTGAATAGATTTGTTGCAAATTGACGCTATCCCTCTAGGTTTCACTCAGGGTGGCTCAAATGCCGATATCGTCATTGCAGATGCATACTTTAAAAATATCACAGCTGGAATCGACTGGAAGCTAGCGTATGAAGCTTTGATATCAGACGCCGAGCTGGAGCCGCTGAATTGGGATGTTGAAGGTACCACTGACAAAAGATCCATTTCCCGCTAAATTTTTGCTAATTGTCTACATCTAGGACGCGGAGGCCTAGAGTCTTGGAAAAATCTTGGCTACATCCCCACTGAAGACTATGACGTTCTCGGCTTCGGTACTCAAACCCGCTCCATCTCCCGCACAGTCGAATATGCGTACAACGACTTCGTCATCGCCCTTCTCGCCAAAGAATTCGGCCACATAAGTGACTACCATAAGTATCTTGGCCGCTCCGGATACTGGAAGAACATGTACAAGGCCGATCAAACAAGTGCCATCAACGGCACAGACACTGGCTTCGTTGGATTTCTACAGCCTAAATACTCGAACGGGACATGGGGATACCAAGATCCGATCTTCTGCTCTCCTTTACTAGAGTTCACGAGCTGTTATCTCAATCCTGACGGACATGAGACTTATGAAGGGAGCAGCTGGTTATACACATTCTTCGTTCCCGGCGATATGACCACCCTGATCAAAACACTCGGCGGCCCAGATCAATTCGTCAAACGGTTGAATTACTTCCATGAATCAGGTCTTCTGTACATTGGTGACGAACAAGGTTTCCTAAAAGTCTTCTTATACCATTATGCGGGACGTCCAGCGCTCTCAGCTACCCGATCGCATTTTTATATCCCTTCACAGTTCAACGACACCATCAATGGGATTCCTGGGAATGATGATAGCGGTGCTATGGGTTCTTTTGAAGCCTTAACTATGATGGGTATCTTCCCAAACGCGGGCCAAGATGTGTATTTCATAACACCTCCGTTCTTCGCATCAGTATCTATCCGCAATGGACAAACGGGCAAAACTGCGACGATTCGCAACAAAAACTTTGACCCTAGTGGAAAGAACGTGTTCATCCAGTCAGCAACATTGAATGGAAAGCCATATACGAGAAACTGGTTACAGCATAGTTTTTTCTTGGAAGGTGGCACTCTGGAACTCACACTTGGTACGACGGAGAGCGCGTGGGGAACCAGACCACAGGATTTACCACCTAGTCTTGGACCATTTGGGAATGGGACGATGAATGGGACAGTAGGGATCAATGGGACGATGCATAGAAGATGGGAGATGCCGAAGTTGGATATGCACGTGAGCTGGGTAGGCTAAGGGGTGCAATGTGCCCGCCGGTTTTTGATTGGCCATGTAACCGTACTTCTCTATAGCGATTAAGAACAATTTAGTTCATAATGTTGCATTTTCGAGTTGAATTGGATGTATCTAACCGAGGTAGGTGCAAAATTCAAATTACAGCGCCATCTTAATGATATCTGCAGCCTACATTCCAGTCAGCTAGCTTACACCTTAGTTAATCAACATAAAATCAAACAAGCAACATACCTTCTCCGCGACCGCATACACAGTAGCAGTCAGGTGTGTGGCCGGAATCAATGGAAAAAGACTCGTATCTACAACCCTCAGTCCCTTGACTCCATAGACTTTCAGATCGCTTCCGACAACCCCTCCCAACTCTTTCGGCACCATCGACGCAGTGCCAGAAATATGAAACGAGATAGGATACGTAACATTCCAGATATACTTCTCAATGCCCGCGTCACTAGTTACATTCTCACCAGGGCCGGATTCACGAGGCCTCAAATCCGCGAGCCCGGGTCCGTTGGTGTACTTTCGTGTATACCTGATGAAGGATATGGCTTGCTGCATATCTAAAGGGTTCGAGAACGTGCGAAATTCGACGACGGGATCGCTGGTGGGCTTGGAGATGAAGTCGCGGTACCCTGGATTCACGGTTCGGAGAGGGAGGAAGGCGCCTTGGTTTGTGAGCGCCAATGTAAGAGGCCCTGAATTGATATGGTCAGTACCCGGTCCCAGAAGTGCGACCCTTGCAGCAGAATGGTGGGTACTACCTGTCTTGTTCGTAGTGTACTCAGCTATAGCTTCAGCTTGGAATGTCTCATTAGTCGCTAGGGTCATGGCATTTGGTAGAATGTCATTTTCGACTGGCCTAAATCAACCTCTGGTCTGAACGAGAACTAAAGTGTGGGTAATCTTACAGACGCACGAGTATCCCATTTGAGGATGATCCTGCATGTTCTGGCCAACACCCGGAAGATCCACTCTTACACGAATTCCAGCTTGATCTAGAATCTCCCTCGGACCAATGCCGCTCAAATGCAGCAGCTGTAGCGTGTGGGTTGCCCCAGCTGCAAGAATTATCTCCAATTTTGCATTGATTGTCAGGTTGGTTGAACTCTCGCGATCGAAAATGGAAACCCCTTCAGCGTTTAGATCCTCTGAAAGCTGTAGCATCTTGGCCTTGTGTCCAATCAAGATATGATAATTGGATCTTGATTTGGCGCGTTCATAGTGGCCCCATCTTGCGTACGATCGTGTTTGATTAACTGGAAATTGAGAAGCAGGTACCCAGAAGACACCAACGGCATTTCCGGCGGCTTGCTCCTTTGGTCATGTGACATTCACATCTACCCATGCGTCCCATAATCTGGCTGTATCATGTGTTAGGGCTAAGATCATGACATCGAATCAAGCTCAGCCTTTGAACTTACCGGAAACTGGCCATTGGAAGGGTGGGAAGCTCGCTTGAATAGGTCCATCTCCATAGGCACTTTCATCCCAAGTATACCCATATCTTGCCGCTAGCTCTGACGAGGGTGCGACCAGTTCCATGCTTTTCTTGAAATAGGGATAGATTCCATTCCATCCCTAACTAGGGTTTCCAAGCTCTTCCCAGGCATCGTAGTCTGCTTTGCTAGCCCTAGGGATGTACATGCCATTAATTGCTGTCCCACCTCCGACGACTGCACCGACTGCAAAGCTAGGGATCACAAAGTTGTTCAATCCTGGGATAGGTGCTGTGGTAATATTGAACGCGAATTGGATACATGGTCCATACCCGTTGAAAACATTTCTTGGCCAGTCAACACATCGGTTATTTTCTGCTAAGTAGCCGAATTCGACAACAAGTACAGTCTCTAAGACATTTCAGACTTAGGCGTGGTTGAAACCCTCCTTTTTCATTTCGGAGAGGAGGATCTTACTGGAAGGATCTTCACTCAGCCGGTCGGCCACTGTGAGACCGCTCGCTCCACCTCCGATAATGACATAGTCGTATGAGTTTTGGACTTCACTCAAGCTGCGTTTTATTTGCGCATTCCTCGTAAATACAGCATGGGCACAGCTCCGTGTTGTCAGGAGAGCATGCTGAGCTAACCCATACATGATGAGTGATGTGAGGAGACGCATTTCTTCGACGATAAGGAAAGGACAGGAAAAGGATTATGAGAAAGAACAGAGGTTGTTTAACAGTCTTTTGTTACGTTTCGATTTCGGGATTCTACAACCTAGATCTTGAGTTCCACACCTCGGTCGTCATTCTCGCTTGCTGAGCTTCCTCTTAAGTTAGAGAGAGAGTCAGGCCTCCAGTTAATGGGTAAGCGGCAACGGAGTGGGGTACATTTGTACATGCGAGATCTGGAGTCTCACGCAAGACAATATTGAAGGTTCAATTCCCGGCAAAGATGAAGCAGCTTGCTAGCTAACGGATGTACGCAATTCAGTGTGTTGTGAAAGGATTGGGCACGAATTGACGAGATCTGGAGTTTCCCTAACTTACGCTATGCCTAATCTATTGTGTGCAAAAATCGGGAAATTTCTTGGCGTTCCTCGGATCTTTTTTTCCCCCACTAAAATTGTATGGGAGATCAGAATCTTGATAGAATTCCTGATATATCAACAAATAACGATTGGATTGGCCCTGGGTAGGTTGAAGCCTTTAGTTTGTATAGAGAAGCGCCTATACTAACTTTTTTAGGAGTAACAACGCGTTTGTTTGCGATGTATCGCGCTTATGGCGTCTCTATCCTTCCTGGCCGGCCCTGATTACCCTAATATCTTAAACTAAGCACCTAAGGGCTTGATGATTGCGTTTGTATAAACATCTGTTAGTTTCTCCTGCTTGGATGGCCTAGAACTGCAATTGCTGATTGTGAGGGTTGTTCTCTCTATGCAGTTTACAATGTAGAGAACAATCTTAAGGCTTATAGCAGCGTCTGTAAGCCACCTACTATGAAGCTTGGGAGACCTTCTAAAATTAGCGATGAAGATGGCGAAGCTCTGTTTGAGGAGTTGATCTGCAGCGGATGGAGATACTAGGACGAACAAGCCTATTAGCTATGGATGGAAAGAGGCGTGAAGGTTAATAGATCTATAATCTCCTGTTACCTCGCCTAGCATGGATGGAGCAGGCGTACCTTACGGCCTTTCTTGCAGGCTTGTAATGAGGAGCTTTAAGAGCTCTACTGTTGCTCTCTCTGTTAGTTTACGCAGGACAATTTAGTGTTTCTTAACAAGTCTATCTTTAACAAGAAAACTAGCTGGCGGCATAAGGCTTATGGGCCTGTGGGCTATGAAAGTTGATATACTTAGGATATAAGGCGCAGGAAGACGTGGGCCATCCTCCTAGCCTATATAGTAAACGGATACCTGCCTTGTATAGGGATAAAGGAAGGATATTTTAATTATAAAGAGTTTGTTAATTAGATTAAGCAGCGCCTCCTCCCTTTGCTTTAAGCAACCTACAGGACCCGGCCTATAGTTATAGTCCTTGATAACGTCTTAATCTATTAGAATAAAGCTGTTATAACTATTCTTAAGGCTACTAGCAGTCTCCTTGCGCTTGCTTAACAGGCCCTGTGCCCTCACACGCGTAGAATAGGCTGGTGGGTCGCCACTAAGGTCAATTTGACGCGTCTGGGTAGCTGGGGCTGCTCTGGCCTTCTGTTTTAGGCCCATCGTTGTCCTGTTACTCCAAAAATTGAGCTAAGAGCAGTATCTCTATATAAACTTAAGGCTTTAACTTACTAACGATATTTAAGAAGGATTTGTTGATATATTAGGAATTCTATTAAGATTGTGATCTCCTATGCAATTTTGGTGAGGAAAAAAAAGATCCGAGGAACGCCAAGAAATTTCCCGATTTTTGCACATAATAGATCAAAGCCTAGGGCATCCTGTCTAGAACTTCCCTGCTATTCGTCCTACACTCATCATACTTGATTCATCATGCCACTAGCGTCATTCTAAAAATGATGCACGGGAGCACGGGATTCTCGGATTATATTTAAGCACATTCAACATAGAATTCTCGCGTATGGTGGCGCCACTTCTCGCAGCCCAACTCACTGTACACTGGATTGCACCTACTTGGGGCCAGTGCTAATAGCGCATTCGATTGAATAAGAAAAACACGTAGGAGTAGTATATAAGGCAACCCACTGTTCAGTAGATCTATGATACCCTGTGCAAGAATCTAGGAAGTCCTGGAAGATGTTATAAATGCGAAGAACGTAACAAAGTGGCTTTCAGAAATAAGATATTTCTCATAGGAACTCCGTTTAGAGAACGCATTTACTTTTTTCAAATTGCGTTCGGCTGCTGCGTTTGTGTGGTAAGCCACTCGATAGATTTTCGTTTCTATGAATATTGTCAAGGCGTCGGCTTTCATCCTCGTTCTATTTACCAACCCTTGTGGTTCGCACTGTTCTTGTTTATATGGAATATTCATAAAGTCGTTTCACCAGCACAAGGAGCCTCACTGCCTAATACAAGCCATAAGCGGGGCTAATTTTTCGGGATGGGGCAAATCCGGCGTCATTCCATTCGATTTAATATCGACTTTGATCGTCGCACACCTCGCTTTTCTAATGCAATCCTTACGTAGAGAGCTATTTCTTACAGGATGCACAACTCTATACTCCGGAAAATAAAATGCTTTTGACGGCTTAGCACTTTCCTACATTTAATCACCAATCCTGCGTCACCTGGAACCCTGGCATGGCTGAATACTCCATGCATATTCACCGAGCTCACCCTGCTTGATTTCCGGTGGTAGGAAGTGTGACTATGCTTTCTATGGCCAGGTTGTAGAGCACGCGTTAGTAGTAGAGCTCTACGATTCTGGAATAGAGGGGTTTCTTCCTGTCTCCTAATATTAGGAAATTCAGGTAGGCGGCAAGTAGAAGTCTACGGGTTGAGTGATTACCTTTTTCCTCCCCGACCCACTTACTCCGCCCTTCCCCTTTGTAGTGGTATCTCGCCGGGAGGTTAACAGAGGGGATATCTCACTTACGGAAGATCGTATAGTGTACTTTGGTATGCTGTGCGTAAAGCCGTTAATAACAAAATTGGTTCAGTCCAATTAATTTTCGACTTCGATATGTACACAGTAGCACATTAGTGGTGGTATTTTCAGTCTTAGCTAGAGCAAGAAGTGGGCATGCATGGTAGGAAATCTTTCTAGTATGCATTGCAATTGAACCAGCCACAATCTTTTCAGAAACGGAAGTTCTATCTCAAGTGAATGCATCCCCGTGTGGTTTGCACCATAGTACAAGCAGTCGGTCATAGCGAGACCGGAGTAGCATAACATGGTCCCTCTTTGTGTTGGCGAAGGTGAGGGAGAACTTTGGGCGGGCCGGTGGCTAGCGGAGAAGGAGATAAAAGAATGAGTCAATGACAAGAGTGCGACATGAACGTAAACCGTGCAGGTGAAGAAGATGGTAGAATTGCTTGACATGTGACATTGATCCAAAGGCTAAGACGAATATGAGCTTTTAGCTGAGGCCCTCCTTTAACAGCATGATTGCTTTCTCTCTTGTGATCGTGAATCTGATTAAAATGAATCAAACGGCCTAAAACCGAGGGGTATTCTCGACCAACGGCGTCGTTGCCCAGAATAAGAATGAGAGGGGGTAGTGGGAGTACATTACAATGCAACTAGAGTAATAAGCAGCTCACCAGTAGTCAAATGAAAGGATAGCTAAGAGAGGGTACCCTTTTCCTTGAGTGTTTCATGGTAGACGGAGTCTTGAAGCTTTCCCTGCGGCATAGAAACGGGAAAGTGAATGGCGCTTTCATTCTGCCCCTCTCTGACGATGCGGTTGATATTAGAAGAGGGAAGATTGAGGTCCGAGAAACGAGTCGTCAGCCCCGTCATTTCTCAAAGTAGGTAAGCGTGATTTTATGGTGCCTCAAGGCCATTCCTTCTCCTCTAACATCTCTTCAGGCATCCACAAAACATGAGCACAGGTGTTAGTTACCCGCCAATAAAATTAGAAGTCAGATATTTAGGGTCCGGTCCGCTCTTGCCCGAACCACGCAGATGTCCTTATTGAAGGCTTATGCTCACGAACTGGCAAAGGCCCCCTTTATCCACCTCCAGCTTAACAATACTCCTCGACCATGCTCAACACGGGTCGTCCACCATCTCGAATTTCGGTATCGAGAGCATCTCGCTTTCGTATTCCTAGTTAGGCTCAAGCCCAAAACTTGAGAACACGCCGCTCTTTCCCAGGCATTCCCGGCAGAAATGCGAAGACCGGAACCCAACCTGGCGGCGATCCTCCTCAAATGCATCGTGAAACACGTTTCCACGAATCCGTTTCTGCCCACCCGTTTGCTCCGAAATATTTTTCCGATGGCATAAACACCCGCATATCCACCTCATATAAATGAGTATGTGGCTTCGGATGGAGCTCCACCGGGAAGGCTAAGTCTGGCTACCTCCACGCCTCTGCTGATTCGACGCCGTCTGCATGAAACATCTGATTGTTTCTGTATAACGGCAGCGCGCTAAACTCTGTCCCGGGCGAGATGAACAGGACATGTTTCAACGTCGTGCAACCCATAATGTGGGTTGATTGCATCTATATGAAGTACTAGGTGTAGATCCCTACCTTTCATATAATCTATCGCGAGACCTCCATTTTCGAAAATCCACCACTGTCACTTCTGAAGCCAGTTTTCTTTCTTTAAAATACCACTGTGTCTTCCTCCTTTCTTTTCTCTGCTGTGCAGCTTTAAACCTTGAAGAAATGCGATTCTCCCAGTTCTTACTCGGCGCGGCCGCAGTGCTGCCTACTTTGGTGGTAGGGCAGCTATCTGGAAAAGTTGGACCATTGACGAGCCACGCGACGAAGACTTCGAAGAAGACTTGCAATGTCTTAGATTATGGCGCGAAGGCTGATAAAACTACGGATGTTGGCCCTCCCCTTGCTTCTGCCCACGCTGCTTGCAAATCGGGTGGTACGGTGGTTATTCCGTCTGGCGAATATGCGATGAATACATGGGTTTCTCTGACCGGAGGATCTGCTTGGGCGCTGCAGCTAGATGGTGTTATTTATCGCACGGGAACGGCAGGCGGAAACATGATCTTCGTTGGCAGCACAAGCGATTTCGAACTCTTTTCCAGCACGGGCAAAGGAGCGGTTCAAGGTATGTAAGCCACAATATATCTCTCGGATGTCCCGACTAAGAGATATCTAGGCAATGGCTACGTTCTTCACGCGCAAGGCAGCAGAACCGGAGCTCGCATTCTCCGCTTAAATAAGGTTACTAATTTCTCCGTCCATGATGTTGTCCTAGTCGACGCGCCCGCGTTCCACTTCTCCATGGACACATGCACGAACGGCGAGGTCTATAACATGGCCATCCGCGGCGGCGACTGGGGCGGTCTCGACGGCATTGATGTCTGGAGCAACAACATCTGGATCCACGATGTCATGGTAACTAACAAAGACGAGTGCGTAACAGTTAAGAGTCCCTCCAAAAATATCCTCATCGAGAACATCTACTGCAACTGGAGTGGTGGATGCGCTCTTGGCTCTCTGGGCGCAAACACTGCCATCTCACTTGTACACTATAAGAATATCTATACCTGGAGCTCTAACCAAATGATGATGATCAAGTCGAACGGTGGTAGTGGCTATGTTGAAGATACAGTTTTTGAGAACTTCATTGGTCGTGGAAACGCATATTCCCTCGATATTGACCAATACTGGTCCAGCATGTCAGCTGTCGATGGAAGTGGAGTCAAGCTGACGAATTTGACATTCAAGGTAAGATCACCCAACCCAAACCCCTAAAAGTCCCCGAATTAAAAGACTCCTCAGAACTGGAAAGGTACAGAAGCTAACGGCGCTTCACGCGGACCGATCAAAGTCATGTGCGCCGATGGTGCGCCCTGTACCGATATTACCATCACCGACTTCTCCATGTGGACCGAGAGCGGATCCAAGCAATGGTACTCCTGCCGCTCGGCCTACGGTTCCGGATTCTGTCTGAAGTCTGGTAGCGGAGCGTCCTATGCTGCGACGACCTCAACGGTTTCGGCGGCTCCGGCGGGCTATACGGCGGCAACTATGAAAGATGATTTGAAGACAGCGTTTGGGACTACGCTGAGTATCCCAATTCCTACGATCCCGACGACGTACTACCCCGGGGCGACGCCGTATAGTAAGATTGCTGGAACCTAAAGAGAAGATTGTGGGGATAGGAGTTGAATGGGTGAGAGGTAGCTTTCTTGGTAAATATTCTCAGGTCTTAGGATCCGTATATATACTTGATTTTCAATGCACCTTCAGTACCCTCACTCGCTCTAGCAGTTGACTCTCCAAAGCCATTCCTGTTCTTAGATCTCCCAAGAGAGCTCCGTCTCGTGATCTACTAGTTCATCCCAGTAACCACAAAATACGACGTGCTGGAGAAATAATACTCCTCGCACTCGAATTTAGACTCCTCTACCGCCACCGATTCCTCCTTTAACCGTATCATTCGCTCCATTCACTCCGGAATCCTCTAACTACCGCCCGATCCATGTCGGAGCCTCACAAATCCTACGGCCAGAGATGGTAGTGGATGCGCTCAACACTAGAAATCTTACTATTACTAAGTAAAGGACTCTAAGAGCGCTGTGCGGATATTAACATACGCTGTTGAAGGAGCCAGATTTTTCATTTGAGAAGGATGCTATGAAGACGACGCTAGGTAACAAGCATAAAACAGACGAAGAGGAGAAGAATAATGAGCCTAATAACAAGGATACTTAAGTGATGTATCCGCGCCTTGAGATCTCCTGAGACTGTTCTGGATCCACGGTTTCGGGCGTGGGCCAGCAAAGTCGTGGGGTAGATGGCCTATCGGAGTTCTTCTCCTGGCTACAACAGGGGGTACTGCATGTTCGAGGTGGGGATGATTGGTCTGTGAGAGCTGAGGGCGCGGCACCTGGAAGCGGATTTCTGTTGCTTCTTCTGGGCAATTAGTATAGGGTTCTCGAACGGAGATGTGCGGTATTCCATGCTGAATCTTACGTCAGGGGAAGAATCGGACGGCGTGCTTGACAAATATGTTCAGTGGCAAAGAGGTTGGTTTATTGTGCCCACCGCAGCACCCAAAAGTTGAATTAATCTGGGGAGAGATGGTGCGAGAGGAGGAATGGGGGTGAAGGAAATGGGTTGTGAGAAGCCGATGTTGGGATGTTGGCTGTAGAACTACGCATGGTAGCATGGAATAGAAAGTGTGCATAAATATGACCAGACTAGCCTGTGGAAAAGTGGGTGGCCCCAATTCGTTTGGTTGGCCTGATATCAGTATGGATTATAACGTGCTTTCCTTCCTCCTTCAGCTACATTGCCGCCGGGGCCTTTACGTTTCTCCTTCTTCCCCATGCGCTTCTCTTTCCTGTCTTTGTCTTTGATTCTCTTAGGCGTCCCCAAGGCGCCTTCGTCGTCGATATCCATGCCTTCGTCACCCGGCAGCTTCCACGCGCGGATAAACCCGTCTTCGCCGACGGTGTAGGTTGTGTGGCTCTGTGGTGCACAGAATTAGTGAATCGTTGTATTAATGTTTGGTATGTAGAGCTTACGTGGACATCTGTAAATACATCACGGATAATTTCTCCTCCGTGGGCGTCTGGGAGACGGAGTGACATTTCGAGATCGTAGTCGTATTGAAGAGGGGGGGATTGAGGTGCTTTTTGGATGGGGATTAGGTCTAGGGTGCTGGAACTGGAACCCGGAGGCGTTAGATCGGCACTGTTACCCAGAGGGTGGATGGCTACGTGGAGGGGACTTGAAAGGACTAGGAATGCATGCAAAGACTCCATACCTATGTTTACCAGCCGCAATAAAGGCTTCGTCACCAACCCAATGGATCTTAGCCATGTACTCACAATCTAGCTTCTCCCGCATATCACCAAAGATCGTAGGAGTCGGTTCCTCTTCTTCCTCATGGCTTTGGAGCGCGTAGAAGCTCATAGTTTCATCTGTTCCCAGGGTGTAGATATCAGTGGTGGGGTACATGAATCCTGCATGTGCGACGGCGGATCGGTGGTTGATGACTTGATAGAGAGCTTCTTCTTCGTCGGGCTTGCTGACGTCGAAGATGTTGACTAGACCGTCAGTGCTAGAGGATAGGAGAAGGGTAGGGTGATTTGGGTGGAGTTGGAGGTCAGTTATGGTGTCGGTATGGGATTCTATTAGCTCGAGGAGGGGCTTTTGTACATTTCGTTGGTCCCTGACATTGTTAGGATGTGGATGGCTAGCTGAGTCGGATGCAGAGTTCTTCGGATGAGGATCCACGAGTACCATACCATATCAGGACTGGAGATACCCCGGGCCCATCATCGGGGTTCTCAATACCAGCTGCAATGAAATTTCTGGGGTTGTTGCAAACGAGAGACGAAATCAATTTATTCGCTACGCCATCCATCTCATCAGCCTTGATCTTCCTCCCTCTCGAGTAATGGGCATACTCACGGCTCTGAATAAGCATAACCTTGTTTCTATTTCTCTTGTCCCAAAACCTAATCATTCCATCTCTTCCTGCGGTCGCAACCACATTGCTTAGCGGATCATCGACTCGCTCAAGACACGTGACGCTTTCATTCACGTTTTTGATGACACCGTCGGGAAGCACTTTGAGGGTTGCTGGATTAATGAAGTGAAGGGAGTCATCGGAAGATATTACAGCGAGGGCGTCGGTTTGGAAGTAGGAGAGTGGATCTGTGCGGGGAGACGTGGAAAGGATCTTGTAGATGTATGAGTTGGGTGCGAGGCTGAGGTCGGAGTGGAAGGCTTGAGTGAGGGGGGCCATTGGGACGATGTCCGTCAAACAGCAGATGGGTGTGACTTGGGTTGGTATCACCTGGTTCCGAGATTTGCTGGGTTGATCTTCATGCTATGGAAATGATAATTGGGAGGCTAGGTTTGTGAGGCTGCAAGAATTTCAGAGTGCGAACAAGGTTGATGTCACCGGGTAAGAAACACTCCATCACAAAGGGATTGAAGACATGCACCACGGAATCAATACAATAAATGTATGTTTAAGAAGCTATACAGAAAAGGTTTTTGGCATTGCAACGCTAAGATGTTCCCCATCAGAAGATGTCACCCTGGATATGAAACGCACTCGACCACTTAGAACGACAAAATGCGCGATTAACTACGGGTTTTCCTTCTCGAAACCTCGTCTCCAGGTCCGATGGCATAACGCCAACAGCCAAGTCGTATCTCCGCAAAGTCAGGGCCTGAGGCTCGTTGACGGCGATATCGAAGTTCCTTGAAGAAAGCAGAAGCCTCCCGCGAAAAGATTTCGGGTCACTGTTACGGGCTGTGACTAAGCGTGCGACTGTGATTGGTTGCTCGGCAACATGTGAGAAACAGCCGAGCGGATGGGCTGGAGTTCAGTGCGTGAACACTCCACCACGACATCACCAACAGGACACTCACCTCTATACCCAAAGCTCAATTGGCACCGATTGAGCAGAATGGCTTCGCAGCGAGTATTCCAGCTGGGCCTACGACGGGCTGCCGTGCCTAGCTTCTCCAAGGTCCAGCCGGCGGGGCGCATGGTACAGCGGAGGTAGGGAGCTCGCCTGACAACCCCCTCACCAGCTCTTTCTAGCTACATTGAGGGCCTATCTTCAATGCTAATGGAATATCTAGGCTCGCAGCTACACAGCACTTTGGAGAATCCGAAGGCCAGCAAATTCTCGCCAAACAGCGTCTCCGGCGCCCTGTCTCCCCCCACCTCACCATCTACCGACCCCAGATCACCTGGTATGCCTCGTCCCTCAACCGTATCACCGGTGTCGCTCTCAGCGGCACTCTCTACCTCTTCGGCATCGCTTATCTCGCTGCTCCCACCCTCGGCTGGCATCTCGAGACTCCCTCGCTTGTTGCTGCGGTTGCATCGTGGCCGGTGTTCGTAAAGGTTGGCGCAAAGCTTGCCGTGTCTTTCCCGTTCATCTTTCATTCTTTGAATGGCGTTAGGCATTTGGTTTGGGATGTTGGTCTAGGATTTAAGAATGTGACTGTCACTCAGACTGGTTGGGCTGTCGTGGGGTTGAGCGTTGTGGGCTCGCTATACCTTTCTCTCCTTGCTTGAGGGATTGAGAAGGAAGAATTAGATAAGAAGTAGCATAGGCGAGGAATATGCGGAGGAAGATAAGTGGTCGTTGAATCATCTTGGACGTCTCGGTCTTGGGCCAGTTAGGTCAGACCACACAATTGTACATTTTCTGTGACATTTCAATGCGAAGGTATTAAAACTGCGGCTTCCGTCTTAGGAAAGTGCTGAGGACGAGCATCGTCTTCTATATTATTTTTGCATGAAGCAGTACCTCTCTCACTTTGGAAAGTTAAGTGAGATGCCACTTTTGCTCCAACAGGTTCACTGCGTACAAACTGGCTCCTTCTCTTTTCAATGGTTTGGTTCACAAGAGATAGGAGGGAATGGACACTCCGTCATGGCAGACAAAGAAACACCCCGGAGTGTTTGCAGCTTATAAGCGGGAGTCGTCACGTTACCGCGCGACATTCGGAGAATTTCCAAGACAAATTTAGCCTAGCAAAGATCAGAGACACAGCCAACCTCGCATCAAAGACTCAAATCCAGTAGGCATTTTGCCATGGCGCCAGGCGACTCGCAAGAATTCACCGTGTTACGAGATGACTTCTATGATGTGAGTTATCACTTTTTAACTTTGGTGATGGGGCGTTTGGCGGCTTCCACCCTGGTCATTTTGTGCAGTTGTGCGCCGATCTCGAATCACCACAGCTGACAAGCTTTCACGCGCCCCAGGACCCGTCGCAGCTCTCACAATTGCTCAGGCAGCGCGCTGGGGACGCGAGGTCGCTCCAATTCACCGATTCCACCGCCACCCATCCCTCGGCCAGCACCAACGGCGCTGTTACGGCGGAGATAGCATTGAATCCCGAACCCCTCCAGCAGCAGGTACCCGCGCTCCGTCCACCGTGCAATCCAACGCCCCGACGCGCGCCTCAACCCACGAGATATGCGAAACCGAGCCTGCTAACTCACAAGACTGCGCCGACGAGCTCGGGGTTTGTGAGAGAGCGGGAAGGCGGGGAAAAGATGCATCGGAGCTTTGCAGGGGCCATGGACGACGTCCCCGGCGACACGCAGCCGGACAGCCAGATGTACAAGACCTGGACCAGTGGCATCTTCGATCATGCCAGCAATAGCGGCACAAATCCGACTTCGCTTCTCCAGCTGGTCGAGGACGGCGGAGGCACACCCACAGCTGGTTCCAACGGCGTCAAGGCCGTGGGATTCAGCCCACAGCAGCACAGTCACACGACTACCAGTCCTACTGCCATTCCCGAGGATGATCCCGAGACACAGTTCCGATTCGACCCTGCGCTTACGAGCCCGCTCAAGTTTGAGACCCCGGCTATGGCGGGAAAGAAGCGCGATAGTCAAGGCCAAGTGCTGAGTTCGGCAATGAAGACAGCGACAACACCTGGTACAACTCTGTCTACTGCCTTTTTTGGGGCTGGTGGCGGGAACGGAGCCATTGGACATGCCATGTCGCTCACGCAGGTCTTCAATGCCACTCAGGACGGCACCTCCCCCATCGTGGGCGCTCCGAGCGATGACCCTGTGTTCCAGCGACCCTCGCCCAATTTCACAAATGCACGGCACTCTAGTCCAATCCAAGCCTTGTCGAGCCCTACGAAAGCTGGCCGCACGGATCCTCCTTTCAGGTCGTCGAGCGAACCTAGGGCTGAATATGTCACGATTAAGCAGTCACAGGAGCGGCGAGCGCGAGAAACTCTACGCAAAGACGCCACAGTCGCTGCGCAAGATAGTTGGGGTGAGCCTACAGAGGCACAGAAACAGGCCGCCATACGTAGGGCAAGGAAGCAATTTGACAGGGAGGCGGGAAAATCGTTCGCACTGGTCGCAGCACCAGCTCGACCGACCCCACGAAGAGGCAGGAGAAGCAGTTTACTGTCAGAAACTCCGCAATATAAAACTCCGGTAGCTCTCAGGACGTCACGCAGGACCGCCGTTGATGAACCAACCGTGCTGCTTAGCAATGAGGACGACGTAGATGAACTATCACAACCCACCCCACTGAACGTGGACGGCGGTGATGATTCACTGGATGAACTGTCACAGGGAATTCCTTCTAGTTCAGTACGCCCCTCCCGAACCCCAACCATTACTACGCGTCGGAGGAACAGCGCAGACAATAGGATCCAAGTCGCAAACACATCCTCCCATCCTCGTCGGACGTTACTAGGCCGGGCAGCCCGTACGTCTTCTCTACCTGAAAGTCCTTCCTCAGAACCGCATCGCGAGTCGCAATTCAAGGGTGGCGTTCAGCCCTCGCCTAAGTGTCCTTCCCGATTGAGAAATAGCGAGGAATGCGTCACCATCATGGATTCACAGCCTGATCTAGAGGGTATACCGCGACCAAAGCCTCTTATCATTCCATCATCACCTTCTGTAAATCAATATAGCATTTCTCAAACTGTCATGGCCACGAAGACTTGCTACACCAGCCAAGTCATTTCGTCATCTATGCCTCCTCTACCTTCGCGATCTAGCTCACTAGAGCTAGGTGAGAATCGAGACGGCGATGACCAAGAATACGACGAGGAACGTGTGCCTAGCAGTCCGCCGGCAATTGCTCATGAAGATGAAATCGTTTATGACGAGCATTCCGCTGATGAAGAGGAACACGAGGAAGAGCATAACGAGGAGGCTGAAGATGTTGAGGAAGCCGAGGAAGGGGAAGGTGTAAATGAAAATGTTGACATAGAGGACGATGACGAGGTTCAAAATACAGGGGATGGGGGGTTAGCCGAGACACATGATGAAGACCAGGAGTTGATTCCTTCCAGTCAGCCAGAGCATGATGACACCAACAGCCCGACGCATAAGCCTCCCGAGCGTCCTCAATTCCAGCGCCAATCTACTGTTCCAGAGTCAGACATGCCTGAGGATACTGAGCTGCCCAGCATTGCTCAGCCCAGAGTTACAGAACATGTTATAGAACATGACAGCAATCATAGGGATGAGTCTGCAGCAGGCGAAAGCGTTGCCCCGAATCAAACCAACAGCACGGAGCTTTTCCACACTGCTCGTGAGGACCAAACGCCCTCTCAATTAGACAATCCCTCGGGTGAAGCCCCCAAAGACGTCGAAGCCTCAAGCAGCGAGCAAGCCCGTCGGTTCCGGTCCCTCACCGACATTGCAAATCTACCAGAGACACAGCAAACTACTGACGTCGGCGACATCGAGATCCCACAACTAAGCTTCACCGATGACCTAGATGACAGTTTCAATCAAATGCTCTCCGGGGCTTCCCCTCTCAGGCCAGCGGCCAAGAGGAGGAAGGTTGTCTATAGCGCAAAAAGGGGCCCAGCGTTCGTGAACCTGGTCAGAGGCTCAGACTCAGCGTCTAAAATAGCGCCCCCATCTCCGCTAATGCAGGTTGAAAAGTCCCGCGAGAATACCCCACCTTTCACGAACGAACGAGAAGAGGAAGGCGTATTAGCTCCAGCTCATGCCCGAGAAGAGGCCATCTTTGCGAAGCCAGCGACATTAAAATCAGAACGACCGTCCGCTTCTCTGCAAAAAACACGGGCGAAGAATAAAAAGGGGGCATTGAAGCCAGTTAACAGGTCACGTCTCGCAAAATCTACACTCGCGCCAAGATCTTCCTCGCACATCTCCGAAGTCTCGAACTCACAGTCTAGTTCTCTTAAAAACCCTGGTCACCAGCATGGTGATGTCGAAATGCCAGACGCTGGTGTTCCTATGGACACTCATGGTATCGTCGACGACGCAGGTGCGGATGAGCCGGATGAGCTCGCCGGTCCTACACCACCCAAACATGTTCGAGCAGTTCGGATTGTCTCAGACCCAGCCGACCGTGGTGAGGCTCCGTCTGGAGAACCACTTGTACCAAACCGAGTCGTTGCTTATTGGCCAGGAGGCAAGCGGCTCTTCTATCCTGCTACATGTCTGGGTCGTGCTGACAACCGCCATCTGCAAATACGTTACGATGATGGCAATCTCCATCACCTAGAGCTTGCGCATATTCGCGCGTTTGATCTTCGTATTGGCGATCCGGTCAAAGTGGACGAGATTGGCATGAAGAAGCATCACTACGTCGTTGTCGGTTTCAAGGATAAAATCGATGTCGAGACGGCAGAGGAGTATCCACTAACCGACCGTCTTGGATACATGACCGTTCTATTGGAGTTGAAACAGAGAGATAGTCTACTTAACGACGCTACCAAGGACGCCAGCGAGGTTATCTCAGTGCCCATGACAAAGGTGTATCTTACGCAACAGCTGTGGAACAAGTTCCGTGATCGAGTGTACCACTTCAATCCGCCCGTCAGTCCCAGCGAATCCGCTTCCCGAGTCGCGACTCCATCCGTAACCGGTGACCGCCCTCATACTCCATCCAAATCTCGTCGAAGCACCGCAGGCCCGTCAATGCTAAAGGACTCGATAAACCGAGCGGGCTCTGTATCATCGTCCATGAGAACGGGGACTGTATTCGCGAACATGGCTTTCGCAATAACCGCCACGCAAGATTCCTTGGATCGAGACAGCATCGCTAACCTCATAACCACCAACGGCGGTGAAGTCCTGGAAGATGGATTCCACGAGCTCTTCGAAAACATCGGTAACTCCTCTTCGTTCTCCTCTCCCCCACCCAAACCCAGCAAACTCCACAATGGCAAAGGCAAAGCAAAACCAAAATCTAAGCCCTCAACTTCAACCACGACTTCCGAATCCGGCACCGGCGCCGACGAACTCATCATCAAATCCCGCCACCGCAACCTAGGCTTCGTAGCCCTAATCTCAGACTCTCATTCCCGCCGCACGAAATACATCCAAGCCCTCGCCCTCAACCTCCCCTGTCTTCACTACCGCTGGATCTCGGACTCTCTGGCTGCAAACAAATCCTTGCCTTTCGCACCCTATCTCCTACCCGCCGGTATCGCGGGCTACCTCGGCCCCGGCGTCGTGCGGTCCCGGACAATAGAGTTGTATAATCCGTACAGTGAGGATGCGGAATTTGCGGGCAGAGTCGGGAGTCGGGAGTTTTTGCTTGCAGGCATGAGTGTATTGCTAGTTATGGGGAAAATTAAGAAAGATGTTGAAAGGAAGAAGCCGTATTTGTTTCTTACACATGCGCTGGGGCCGAAGGTTGTTGGTCGCTGCGCAGACCTGGGAGCTGCGAGAACGATGATAAAAGGTGGGGAGTGGGATTGGGTGTATGTTGATGGTGGGAAGAAGGGGGTGGAGAATGCGGAGAAGGTGCTGTTTGAGGGGAAGAAAAATGTTACGTCGACACCTAGTGCGAGTGCACAGGGGAGAAGTAAGAAGAGAAAGAGGGATGACCCTTCTACGAACATCGTGCCTACGGTCAGGAGCGGGGTGGTCAGAGGCAAGAATGTGAAGGTTGTGAGTGATGAGTTTGTTATTCAGAGTCTGATTCTCGGTGCACTGGTGGAGGCGTAAGCTCTGTTATTGCGCATTCAGAATCTGAATGCACTACTAAAACGGCGGGTGGTATTTCGGTGTCGGTGTTAATGGGAACTGTAGGATGGATGGTTTATCTTGGCGAGAGCGTATGTATGGTGTCACCTTTATCGAGTCTGATTTCGGTGCAGGTGTTGTATGCTCCTTAAAAGCCTAGCTGTGGCGTTGAAACGGGAGCGCATATTGCCTCCCCTCTCCAGCTCTCAGGCACATCCATGCGGGCTAGATATAGTACAAGACGGAACAATACGGTACGAAATAGCCCGGCATGTAGAGGTAAGCATGCTATCAGTCCAGCTTAAACTGTACCGTGTGTAGAAGTCAGACCTCAAGCGAAATATATGCCTAGAGAATGAGTACACTACAGGGAAAGCAAAAAGTAGGCGAAATCAAGGTTTAACCCTCGGGAAAAAGCATGCTATAAAAACATCTAACAACTATAGGTAACACTACACCTCCATTTTCATTGCCATTTTCGAGACCTGCTGCGAGTAATTCTAGCTCTATGTGCGGTGTGATGTGATATATACCTGGCTCCAGTAATCGAATAACCACATGGGGTGGAGCAGTAGTATGTAATCTGAGAACCATTTGTCAATAATTGTGTACTAGAATGAAGGCATGGGACTGGTACACTACACTACATATAGAGAATGGAGGTGATGAGTGGTCGGGTAGAATATCTAACTAGTCGAAAGATGCGCGCATGAATGATTTGCGTAAAATGGCATTGCGGGCTGTACTGCACGTTGAACGCGAGGTAGATAGATACAAGTATGGAGATGTGCATCAATGGATAACATTACGGTTGAGCTTACTAAGCTCAGAGTCTACATCCCCTACATATACTACTTTCGTCATAATATGAGATGACATGTACATATATTTGTTCATCTGTCTAATTACACTCTTACCTCATTCTGGCCTGGCCTACGGCGCCCTGCCACTACGATTAGGATTATCGATCTCTATTCCGTTCTCACCCATGTACAAGGTTCCTGGCCCGCGGCTCGCCTTCTCTTCTCCCACTCGGTTTGCCTCCCTACATGCCTAGTCCAGAAAACAAGTACGCCTAAGCGGGCTTCGCTTAAAGTAGTGCGCCGTCGCCGAAGCGTTTTGCAAATAGACCCAGCGCCTTGATCGTGAAGATGAATTTGTAGTTGGGATAGGAGATCATACTATCACGCACACAGTCGTTAGCAGGCACTCAATCATTCCTTCTCACAACTCTCCCCGTCTCTGTTCGTAGGTGTGAAGGGAGAGTGCAACGCAGAGTAGAGGAAAAGAAAAGAAATACTCACCAACTCTTATTAAACACCCCTTCAATCGCCTCTTGCTTCCACTCTCCATTCTTCTGCTGTCTACTCATTATCAACCGACAAGCCCGCTCAAGCGGCTCGCGATCCGGAAATTGGGCTTCTAGCAGTGCAAGCACAACCCACGCCGTCTGTACAACCTGGGATTGTGGATGTTGGTGATACACCCCTGTTTCACAGCTCCTGTATGTTTCACCCCAGCCACCGTCAGGCATCTGGCGGTCGAGCAAGAACTTGCAACCCCGTCGCACACGTTCAGAGTTGGCGTAATTCTCACCAGCACAGGCAAGTGATTCCATGCCGAACATAGCCGCATAGGTAAAACAGATGCCCCAGGAACCGTACCAGGAACCGTCCGCACTTTGAGATTTCCTGATATATTCAATACATCTTGCTTTAAACTCCCTGATCTCTTTAGTCCGATACTCCGGGTAGTGTTTCTGGAACATATGCAGCGCGGTTGTAACAGCGGTCGTGCATTCGGGGTAATCATACTCGACCATAATACGCCCAAAAACTTCCGCTGCATTGAGGTATTCTAGGTATTCAGAGCCACGCTGGGGTTCGTAGGAGGCGCAGCCGCCGGATGGGTTTTGCATAGTTAGGAGGACGTCAATGGCAGAGAAGATGCGGTGGTCTGGGACGAGTCTTGGGTATCCGGGCGTGGATTGGAGAAGCAGGACGCATTTCAGCCCCTCTGAAGTACAGTCGGACACAGTGTAGCCTTGTTTCTTGTTGGAGAAGCCCCACGCGCCTTTGCGCTGTTGGCGGTAGCATGCGTGCTGGTCGCGGCATTCGGCCTCTATTTGTTGGTCTTCGAGGAACTCGAGGGCTTTGGTGAGCATGGGTTTCCATTTCGTATCGGTGGCGAAGCCGGCGGTGTAGATCGCTTGAACGGCGAAGCATGTGTCCCAGACTTGCACGCCGTTAGTGCCGTTCATTAGCATGCCTTCGTCCTTGACCCATAGAAACTCGGGCAGGGTTTTGAGGTGTTGACGGAATCGAGGCGAGTCTGGCCCTTCATGGATGTAGCAGCAAAGAGTGTTCATGGGGCCGTTTACAGGGCCTAGGTTACTGAATTGGGTGTTTTCGTCCTCAGCGCAAATAAGCCACCACGTCCACTCCTCGGCTCTCTTGGCTAAACTCGCTGGCCGGAGGAAGGGCATCCAGATGTTGACGATGAGCCAAAAGAGGACACGAAGCAGCCAGGTCTTCGGATGGTAGTCATCTGCCGGGGAGATATCGTTGCGGTGGCTATCAAGATTGATGGTTTCGTACGGTTGGGTTAGAAGTTCAGAGCGGAGTTGACGTGTGAGGTCATTAAGAGGATAGGACCAGCGCTTGGAATAGATGTACGACATAGGGAGCATGACTTGCCGCATGTGGATCCACCACCGCCAGGGGGCTATGGGCACCCAGTCAGGTAGCAACCTATTCCACAACGTCAGCAGCATCATCCCACCGAGCCTCATACATTGAGATAACCTAATAGAAAAAAAAGAGGGGGGAGGGGGGGGGAGAGGAAAATTACCATAACTCGGGAGGTACGGGATTCACAATATCGAAATCCAACACCCCCAGCACACTCAGCCAAAACTTGGCCCAATGTGGACCCCTCACCGCGCCTCCTAACTTCCATAATGTCTCCCTCGCCTTTACCAATCTTGGATCTTCCGCATCGGCACCCAGGAGCCTGAGCGTTGTATAATTCATCACGGTCCCAAACACACTACTGTCCCCTTCAATATGCAGACCCCAACCTCCATCTTCAGGGTGTTGGCGCGCAAACAAGTAATTCTTGATTTCGATGGCATGGGACTCTGGAATCGGTGTTTCAGTCACATACCAAGTGATGACAAGCCCGGGGAGCAGGAACATTGGGCCACCATATTCGCACCCCCAGTTTCCGGGCGGGAGCTGCAGGTGCGAGAAGTATTCGAGGCCGTTGGAGGCGGCTTGGAGGGGGGTTTTGGCGGGTGGGAGATCTGGGAGGCCCTACATATACAATGTCGTCAGCCATGTCACATCGACACATGCCTCAAACTTCACACCCAGAAGGCAAGGGAAGATGTGAGAGCAAGTGAGAGCAATATTGAATCCAGAGGAAATGAGAGCGGGTCCCACCGTATCCAAACCCAAGAAATACCGATCCGCCGTGCTCTGCGGCCACTTCCTAACCTCCTCTTCAGTCTCGAGATAATGCCATGTCTGGCAGCCTCGGTCATCCAACATCCGCCATCGCAAGGGATCCGTCCTTTCGTTGTCTATTGTGCTCTTGCTCTTTGTTACACCGCCGTTTGCGGATTTGACGCGCTGCCGTGTGCCATTGGCCTCCACCGTCGTTGCCGTTTGGGTGATCGCCATAATGGGGACGAATGCAAAGATAGTGTGCGCAATTGAGCGCCCGATAGTCGTGTCATCCAAGACAAGAGAAGGGGGGGAGGGCGTTGCGGAGGTGCCATCCGCCCGCTTAGAGTCTTGGCAGGGACAGGAACATTCTCATAACCTCAATCCCGATATCGCTATTCCCCGCAGGCCCGTATTGATTTTGATCGAGATCCGGTGGTGCCATTACATGCAGTGAGGTGAGGTGGTATGTCCAGAACGCAAGAATCTGATGACATGAGTTATTGTCAGCACCAGCATCACAGCACCTGGAGGCTAGCTCGTCCTGGCACGAATCAACAATATCAGTAGACTATGCAGCATGAGTCAGGCAACGAAGGCATGGCTTTGAATCTCTGAATCTTTGAATCTTCTCAATTCACGTCCTTCTCCAGTTCAACCGGAGATGCTCCCTGCCCAACTTCCCTGTTCGGCTATATATATATACATACAGGCCCCAACCACCTGCAAGAACCATCAACTCCTGAAACTATGTTGTCAAAATGAAAGAAATTGAAAGCAGAATCTATGCCAAACCTAGCTGGCATGTACCAAGGGTCCAGGCAAATACTAAAATGCCGCTAGAACGTGGTTTCCAACGAGAGAATGCCAGGAGATTGTGAACACCTTCCCCATAAACGCCGAAAAACTTGGCCCATCCATCCACTAGCATCATTCCCTCCTGCTTGAAATCATGACCTCGACGAGGGGTCTGGGTATTAATCGCTGAGATCCGGGTTTGCAATGAAAAGACGGGTGTTGCCCATGGTCATGGTTCGCTCGTCCACGCTGCCTCGCCTGTGCAGCTCGTCGCTGGTCTTCCTGTCTACCTCGATCTTCGGCAAGCCTTGTGGCATCTGCCCCGCATCACCGAAGTTTCTTTCCCCGCTGCTGCCACTGCCACCAGATAGGCCGGTTTTGGTATGCTCGAAGTAGTCAGTAGACTTGTTGTATCCTGGAACAGGCGTCTCCTCTTCCATTAGATCTGCCATGCCTCCTTCCGACGGTGACGAGTTGTGCCCCGATGGCGGGGTAGAGTTGGAAGATAAACGCCCAGAGGGATTGGCGTAGGCGATGCGGCGTCCTGATCCAAGGGAACTGCGGCCAGATCCTGTGCGGTGATGGTATGCTCCTCCGCCTGCACCCATGCCAATGCTTCCATTGTCCTCGCTGTCGCCCTCGTCAACCTCGCTGGCACTCAGCCGCATCGGCACCCCGGTCCCTGCCAGATTCGCCGGCGCATATAACGAAGCCTTTGGTGCACCATGGTGTCTGATCTTTGACCTCACGCCCGCAGCTACACTCGAACTGCCCGCCACGTTCCGTGGAGACGCATGATGTGGCCCACCTGCGACTTCCCTCTCTGCGCGCTGCTTGGCGGCCCGTTGTTGCGCGAGTATGCGGGGGTCTTCGTATTGCGCACGATCGCACCATACGGTGGCTTTCTGCTTCCGCATGAGCGCGACGTATGAGGAAGGGGAGTTGCCTGAGCGAGCAGACGACGAGCGGCGGAGACCACTGTTGGAGCGGGCTGGGGTCCCGGTGGTCGAGGTGGTTGACGACGTTGCGTTGGACAGGGTGCGGCGCGTTCCTGAGCCCATGATCTGCTGCGGTGGGTATTGTGTGGGATACTGCGAGGTGTGCATTGTGCCTGGCGGGGTGTATGTTGTTGGAGAGGCAGAGACAGCAGCCGAGCTCATAGGAAAGACGCCTGAGGACGTGGTGCGGGTGCGGGAGTGGCCTGCTTGGCCTGCGTCGGGCTGCAGATGTGAATATGTCTGCGCAGGGCGGACAACGACTCCTGGACCAGGCAATGGCTTCCTGTGCAGTGGGTGTGGTGCGCCGTATGGAGGCGCCGTCATGGCCGACATGTTTCGCGGCGATGCGTTTTAACCTTTACAGCTCAGCGGAGTGGTTGAAACGAGGATCGGCAGCCCTAGTGTCAAGGACCGAGGACAGTACTTGAGAAAAAAGAGAGAGGAGTGAAAGCGCAAATAAAGCACACCAGATCGCAGGCGAGGTATTTCTGTTAGGGCGTGTAATAATTGCTGCAAGTGCTTGGCCGGGTTGGGTTGCTCTCCTGCTTGTTGCCGCTTTCGTACACGAGCGTCAGCGTCTGCAGCTTCAGCCCTGCAAATTCCACAGTTCGCGCCCGGCGTCAGCGCCACTAATTGAGGGGAGAGGGAAAGGCGACGGATGGTAATTGCAGAGATGGTCCTTGGTCAGACGGCAGTCCTCTTCCTTTAAACAAAATTTCCGCGGGCGGCGAAGTTCGCAGCAGGAGGATTAGAGTAACAAGCCAGCAATGGTGCAGTAGTCGGGCGAGGGTCGCTGGCCTTATTTGGACACTTGCGTGAATCGAATGACTTGGGGAAACTAGAGAATTACCATCAGCCGCGTAAACGAGAAAGCCCGCGGACGCTTTCCAGGATTTGGGACAAGTCAGGATCCTGCACCAAGGCAAGTGTCGTCTTGCACAGAGAAACGATGTACGTGGGCGCACAAGATTCAAGAACAAAAGCGAGAGGGCTTACCTAGCTGAGATGCTCGGAAGCGCATCCAATACACACGGGACGGGGCGGCGGGGAAACTGCGGCCACACTCTTCAGCTCTTCGGCGAAAGCAGATACTCCAGGCGATGGGGAGATTGACTATTCTTGTATCTTGGCTCTCAGCCCGTGCTTCCCGACTTGTCACTTGACGACAAGCTGGTCTGGTGTGGGTTCCACAAAATGACGACACGCCCTCGTATCCCTCCGTCGGTCCTCAAGAGACTCCTCACACACAGAACAGGGCTCCTCCGCAAACGCGACCCCATACATTATGACATATCCCTACAAGTCAACTCAACTCAACAAGGCTTCAAAACTTGTAAACTGTACATGAGCCTCGCAGACGTGCCGCCGGCGGAACCCTGGCTGACTTGCCTTGGAATTAAGAATTGAGCCGCCCACGTTGAGCGGCCGCCTCGGGCCTTGGTCAGAGCCCTGTGAAAGGCCAAGACTGCCCTGGTCTCTCCCCGTCATGTTCGCCGGCGTCCAGTCCACGTTGTCCCAAAAGCATTCTCCCCTGCAGCGAATCACGGCTATCCATGATGCGCCTGGCGTGCCTGGTTGGCTGTGAGCAATTGCAGAACATCATTGCATTGGCGGACACCGATTGACGAACGCTGGGAGGTGAGAAATTGAGTTTTTCGCGAGATCAGCTCCGTTGCATATCCCAGACTGCAATCCATCTATCGTGGGATGCAACGTACACTACTGCACCTCCATAGAGCGATCCCATTTTAAAATGCCTCACCACTATCAGCATCGCTTCGCCCAAATTGCCATCTGCGCTGCGAATGCGATAAGCATCCCCTCACCACAGCAAGGAAAACCGGTTCCAGTGCAAGTTCCAGAGTTCTCACCTGCATCCAAACGAACCGTCACGTTTCATACCTGTCCAATTGTTGGATGTTCGTAGCAGAGGAAGAGAGAACTGAACGGGAATTCCTGAGCCACCAGGCGACTGGGTATTCCGCGTCTACATGCATGAATGCAAGCACGATCTAGTTCCCCGCTGTGTTCACCGCATCCAGACCGCCAGATGCTGGCCTCTCCACGTCGCACAGATCTCAGTCACGTCATTCGCCTTTGCGATTTTCGCCATTGTTCTCGTCGCTAATATCTGCAGCTTTGGAAATATAGCAAAGGGACAACATCGCACTGCATCATCTCGCCGAAGCCGAAAGTATTCCTGCCTTGGCCGTGTCCATGGTGAAGCGACTGTGGAGCCTCGGAGATGGATCATGGCTGCCGAAGACGCAATGGAGTGGCGCCGAGGTGGCGCAGGCATCTCTGCTACAGGGTCTATGAGCTCTTGTGGTGAGGGAGACTCTGGTTCTACTATCAGATACCAATGCGGAAAGCGTTTGCTGGTCTTTCCTCATACGAAGACCAGGCAAAATGACTTCTCAAACATGTTTTAGAAACGTCGTGAGGGCCTCGATAAACCTTGGGCTGGCAAGGGCGGGAGATATGATGCGTGTGTCCTTTGCCATATCAGCTACAAGTGGTGTAAGAGGATAGACTCTGAGAGGCCAGACTCCGCTCCTCATCTGCGGGATATTGATGTGGGGGATTGATCTAGGCGGGAGACACGACCTCAGCCATCCACATCCCGCACCTCTTCGCCCCTCACTTCCACCGCAAAACACCAATTGCGATTCTTCTGTCCCCTCAACCAAAACCAAGAGTTGTGGAATGTTGGGAGGGGAGCCGAAGAGAGGGAAGCACCTGCATCGTGCAACAAACCGTCTCCGTCTCAGAATCCTGACTGACTCCTGTCGCTCTCGTGCATTGCCTAGTCGGGAAGTTAGTTGCACACATCGTTGATAGGGTGTCGAAGACGTCGTTCTTGGGCTCCACAGCCCGTGCCAACTCGGTGATCCAGTCGAAGCCTCCTTAGTTGGAGTGGCAACAGTGCAAAACTTGACAGCTCCTTCACTATCAGCTACGGAATAGAGCTGACCGCAGAGTCGACGCCAAACTTGACAACATCACAGGGCATTTTGACGGAAAGCCGGTAGTTTTCAGCTGGTGTGTTCCATCGCTAATGCATGCAAAACTTAGTCGGAGCTCAACCAATTCTCCGGCAAGCAAGTAAGCAGACGAAGCTCTCCAAATTGAAGCTAAGATAACTTATGGTGTGATTTCGAGCCAAGAAAAGCTAGGTTTTGGGTGATTCTCCACTTGCCCAAGGAAAAAAAAAATTTACCAGGTTAAGCCAACTAGAACATTCCCGTGGCCCCTCCGACCAACTTGTTCCTGCTCAGTAGAGTCCCGGTATTAAACGCCACTTCGTCTGCTGTTTGAAATTTCCCCAGTCCACACCATATCGCTTCTCACAGTATTCGTTCAGGATGGGAACTCCTCGCGTCGCGAAATCGGTAAAGAAGAATGCTCCTACCACAGCACCCATGATCCACCCTCCCGAAGCCATGGCGTAGCCTGCTCTCCAAATGGTGAATGCACCGTAGTTAATATGCCTCGCTAGACTCCACAATCCACCAGTGTATGCTTTACCCTTGTTATTCGGGTCCGACTTGAACCTCTTTCTTTGGATTTCAGAAGCAAGTTCGGTGGCAATGCCGGTGATGTAGAGAGCGCTCCCGACAATCAATGGAGCCTGAAGGAAGGTAGACTCGGTCGACGCGGACATAGCAGAGAGCAGAAACGCGTACGAGTTTATACTGTTGAAAATGGTGTTGAGGGCTCCGACGATGAGTGCGTTCTTAATCTCTAGAGGATCGCCCGATAAAGCAGTAACCCAAAGACTATGCTTCACTGTGCTGCCCACCGCCATACCTAGGAGTATGAGTCTATATGGTGACAATCCCAAGTTGTCGATTACACGTACTCCAATAGGAGCAGGGAGTCCTGGATGGAGGGTTCGAAGGCCCAGGCGGTGCAGAAATATCGTTCCAGTACCATGTGCAAGGATCGAGTATTGGAGAAACGGATCGAGCGCACGGGTAATGACGAAAACAGCCTTTCCGACGGGCGTTGGAGTGTAGTCACCGCGGGATATCAGGTCGCGGCTCTTAGAAGCTTCAGAACGAGAATCGTTGTTGCGCTCTCTGCCAGCCATGGTGAAGCCTCGAAAGTGTCAGAGGGTTGGTGAGAAAGAATGCAGAGAGCTTGAGCCAGAGAAACAGTAACTCTGGGTACAGGAGTAGCAACTCTTAAGTGTTGATAGATGGAAGGGAGTTTCCTACTAAGTATATATCATGAATTGATGATCAAAGAAGGCAATTAATATTCATCAGAAATCGAGATCACCATTATTGACGTAACGGAAGCTGACAAATCTAATCACGAAATGCGTGATGAAGCGGGTTTAGCTGTTCAAAGGCTCCGAAGGATGATTTATCTCCTTATTGATCCTTTTTGTCAATCTCGCGATGAAAGACGACAGGAAAGATGGAATAATGAGGAAGCAGATGAGGCTGAGGAGCTTATTCACGGGAGCAGAGGGAGCTCGTCGCTCAATGAGGAATCGTTCATGCACGACATCAGATGACAGCGTGCATTAGCGTGCTTTCCTTCCGAAGGGCAAAGCGTGTGCTTGCCAGATCACAACAGGGGCCCCCACCCTCAATCGGCTTTGCCAACTTGCTTTTCTAACTAGAATTATTGGCCTCGTTATTCTCGCAAAAGCATTTATCCAATTGCTTTCTCTCCCAATATTGATCCTGGCGCCTTATCGCTTCTCTTCATTCATACTCGAAAAACGCGTCAGAAGTTCTCATTAATGTTCTCGTGAAGGAGGCAGTGTGGAATGACCGTCGATCAAGGACTACAGGAACCAAACTCGAAGACACAGGTACCATGTTGGGCGCCTTGAAACTACGGGTTGTGTTTTGCGAAGCCATCCATTTATCCCTTAATCCAGCCGATTAATTCTCTAGTCGCAGGCAAAGACAACACCTATCCAGAAGCTGGGGACTCAGACATCGTGTGACCTCCAACAAACGCCTTGGTATCCTGTGATACTTGTCTAGCCTGTCAGCGTAGTGAATGAGATGCGGCTTTTACCTCCCGTTCTACCAAGGAACTGAACACGCCGCCGCTTCCCATCGCGGGGTTCTCACCATAACGATCAAACCACCCCTCGGATTCCGGCTCTGTCACTTTTCGACACCTGATTCTTGCCTCCTCTAGTCTCAGTTGGTTTTGCTAATATTTTTTTGGGTTTTTCGTGGCACCTTCTTGCTCTCCAATGAGTATTACGTTCAATAACATTTGTACCCTCCTGGAGAGTGTTGAGAGGGTTTCGACTCTGCACCCTCGACTTCCGCCGGGACGGGAGAAGTCTAGTATCCGGCAGATCATCTGCAATTGGTTTGCAGACCACCGAGAGACGATTGACCACCCTTCCACAAATGGAGGCGCCATGCTGTCCGCCCTGCTCCCCCACCGGAGAAAGGACCGCGTTTACGGATTGCAACAGCCGTTGTTATCAAAAAAGATCACTAAGTTGGTGAATTTCAATCATGGGCAAAGACTGCTCTTCGATCGGTGGAAAGAGCGATCCCACGGCGATCTCGGCGCATGTACAGAAAAGGCGATGAAGCCATGGGATGGCACTTTCAGCAATAAGCAGCCTGTTTCAATAGAGAAAGTTGATCAACTTCTCGTCCAGCTCGCCGCGAAATACCGATTCTCCGACCCAGCAATACGAAAACAACGAGACTGGAGTGTGAGTACCGATACGGTGCTGAAGAATATTCTTATCAAACTTGAATCCTATGAGGCCAAATGGCTGGTCAGGTTGATACTGAGGAATTATTGTACCATCGAATTAGATGAGGAACTTGTTATCAAGCAGTTCCATTTCTTACTCCCGAGTCTTTTGCTGTTTCAGAACGACTTCGATGCGGCACTATCTCTCCTCAGAAGGGATCTCCATGCCTTCCCCTCCATCCCTGAGGCACATATGGAGGAATCCTTCAGAATCGAAGCAGCGAAACAATTAAAAGCTGTTGTTGGAATCAAGGTTGGGCGTCCGACTTTTCATAAGGCGTGGGTGAGTGATTCCCTTAGGTACCCCAGCAAAGTCTTACACTTGCTAACTTAGCAAAATAAAGTCATTCAAAAATTGTTTCCAGCTGGTAGGGAATCGTGCATGGGCTGCTGATATAAAGTATGACGGTGGTATGTCGCTAAAGAAAGCTTTGTAGTTCTACCTATTTTTAAGCTAACGTTTATAGAATATTGCGAGACACATGTGGACTTGGAGAGCAGCCCAAACGACATTCAGATATTCTCGAAGAATGGCAAGGATGCTACATCAGATCGCCAGAAGCTTCATGGCACCATCCGCCAAGCCCTCCGTATTGGAGAAACGGATTGCATGTTCAAAAAGAAATGTATCGTCCTTGGTGAGCTTGTTATTTATAGCGATAAGGAACAGCGAATATTGGACTTCTCGAGCATTCGAAAGCACGTTTCTCGGTCCGGCTCTTTCATTGGGAATGCCCAAGACTCACTCCCTCATGAATGGGAACATCTCATGATTGTCTTTTTCGATGTCCTTTTGCTAGATGACAAGCCTGTTATGAGGGACTGCCTACAGAAACGTCGAGACATTCTCAGGAAGCTGATTCGATCTATACCTGGGAGGGCAATGCGTTCCGAGTGGTGTCTTGTTGATTTCAAGAGTGATGAAGGAGTTGCGGACCTGAAAGACTTCTTTGCTCGGACTTTAGCTAATCGCCAGGAGGGCTTGGTTTTGAAGCCTTTGCATTCACCTTACTTCCCACTGCTCTCCGATACCGGAGAACGACAGCCAGGGTATTTCATAAAGTTAAAGAGAGATTACCTCTCCGACATGGGTGGTGAAAGGGATCTCGGGGATTTCGCGGTCGTCGGCGCAAGTTATGATGCGCAGGTAGCTGCAAAAACGAAAGTCAAGCCGCTACATTGGACGCATTACTACATTGGGTGTCTTGTCAACAAGAATGCGGTCCAAAACTCCGGCGCAAAGCGACAATTCAAGATCGTTGCAGTTATCAGTCTCGACAAGTGCATTCCAAAGCCCGAGCTGCAATACCTCAACCGCCATTGTCAACTCCACTCGACACCTCTACGCTGTGATGACGGGATCGAGCAGTTTGAAATCAAACATTCTTACAGCAGCAGCACTCGTATGGCTGTCGCTTTTAAGGAACCATTCGTTGCCGAGATTCTAGGAAGTGGCTATGAAAAGGCACAGAATGAAACTTTTGAAATGCTTCGGCACCCTCGCATCAAGAAGATTCATCACGACCGGACGTGGGAAGATACGGTCACAATGGAAGACCTACAACGAATGGCAGAGGAGAAGTGGGAGGTACCAGATACCGATAAGCTTGTGGGACATGCTCGAGACGTTGCTCTCTTAGTCGAGAAGTATGCACGAGGGATGAGTGCGTCTCAGAGTTCCATCTCGGGATATCAGACCACGCAAGAGACAACCCAACAAAGCCCACCCTGGACAGTACAAGTACCCCTTCGAACACCACCAGACAATGCAATTGTACAGTTGACACAGCCGACGTGGGCCATGGCTTCTACATCTCAGTTCCCTGGCAGTATGCAAGGGGCTGGGGTCAAATCATCAAGAGAACTACGCGTACTAGTACGAGAAGACACCGTTGAGCGAATAAAATCCACTCCACCCCAGCCACGGCAGCCGCTAAAACTTCCTCTTTCCGCACCTCCCAAGTCCCCTCTTGTCGACGCATCCCCGGCCTTGAAGAAACGCAGCCACAACACGGCAGCAGTGAGCCCCCCGCCCACAAAGCGGAGGAAGATCCCGAGCCCATTCAAGGATTCCGGCATGAATAGAAATCAGGGAACTTTCGAGTGCGATTCCCAGGAGAAGACTATTCATATATACGTGGAGGAGGGTTGGAATATTCAGGTCCACAGCCGTAGGTAGTAGAGTGGTTGCATGGAAAGTACAAAATTCCTTTACTTCATTCTTGTGTATATATCTTTAACGATAATTCTTCATTTACAATCAACTATAAAGAGAGGGCACAGTTTATTATATAATGGCTAGTGTGTCTACGGCCCATGCAGTCCTGCTTACGCTATTCCCTCAAACCCATTGTCAACCGTCACCCTTGCACCTCTCTCCCTTTCCCACACCCATCCGTTGCTCTATCTCCACAGACCGCATGATCCCTCCAGTCGGCGTCGGGCATGGAGCCCGGCTTGTGTAAACATGCGTGTACCCTTCTGTTCTACGAACTGTAGTGTACGATTCCATCCTCAGATGCACTTTTTGCGACCCCGACGTTGAAGGACGGGTTCTGAAGGTTGATGTCTTTGTGGAAAGGAGGGTTTTGACCGAAGATAGAATGGGCGAGGTTTTAAGCATAATCTTATAAGTGGAAACTAGCGCGGGTATGCAAGACACTATTATAGTTATGCTAAGCTCGACGAGGCTGGGTGTTGTCAGTGCGCGCGATGAGGGTGAGAAGGTGAAAAAGGGGGTGGGGGAAACGTACACGGTCAGAAGAGCTAGTGAAGAGTACCATGTCGAATCCGCATCTCGTTGCTGGCGCATGTATATGCGGTAGACCAGCGCGAGGGCATTGCTAACCAGCCCCCTAAAATGCGTCAGTAAAAGCTATTATCATAGTTTCAGTAGATCTGATACTCTAGGAAACACCACAGATGCACTTACACCACACCAGCCAAAAACACCAGCGCCAGTCCCAGCTTCTTCCTCCACCCCAAATTCAAACCAAACACCACTGGCATCGGCAACATGACACAGTAAACATCCCCTGCCACATTGAAGCTTGCCGTCACAATTGTCGGGATCTGCACACCCTTCTGCATCCTCTCCGCGAACGTAAAATCCCAGCTCTCACCTTTATGCGGAAACGTGTATATCGCATAGACGGGGATATTACTCCAATACACGAAGCCAAAGAAGATAATGCCAAACCAGCAGCAACAGCGCATCCAGGTGATGTTGCCGAAGAGTCGAAGGTACATGGCGAATATGGAAGTTTTAGCACACCACATTGCGGGACCGTAGATCATGCAAAGGACAGCGGCGCGCTTCTTAAATTGTTAATTAGGAGTTGGAGTAGAGGGGTAGTGGATCGTGGGAATGAGTGGGATGGTACCTTGAGCCAGACGGCGTTAATGGCGCTGATGGGGACGTCCCATGCGTGTCGTGCGGTTTCATCTACTGCACACACGGGAAAGAATTGCGGTTAGCTGTGTAGTTGTAGACGGTTGACTATGTGTGTGCTAAGCGTACACGTCATGATTACTACCCCATGAACGGTTGTCAGAATCCAGGCCAGGGCGCAGAAGTCTAGAGCCTTGGTCAATGGAAGATAATTGAAGGCTGGTTTATATGAGGGAACTCACAGTCATCAACGCGGAGTCCTGAGTACATCTTGAAGTTGGTATACATTCGCATACCTACAAAGAGAAAAGAAATTGTTATCAACGGGATGGAAACGCCGTATATTAGAGGACTAAGGGACGTCCCATTTTCAAAGTCCGGTGGTGAGCCATTAGGATTCACGAGGAGGGGTATCTTCGAGAGGTCTAAACCAGGAATCGACATTAAGAGTTGAGGGCAACTAGAACGTAGAGTAATACGTGATAAAAGGAGGAATGTTTAGACAAACAATTCAAAAGAGGGGTCTGATATTTGTACCGACCAGCGCAATGCTAGACTCTACAAGGAGTGAAGAGTGGTGGACGATGAAGGATGCGTGTCTCAGTGCCACTATTGTGGCGTAAGGTGCTCGATGAAAACAGCCGTTTATCCCGGCCCACTGGATCCCACCGGAGTTCAAGACATCCTATCATTTGACCACCATTGGCGGGAGGGAACTGCGTGTCTTCAAGTACCACTGGTGGTAGCGTAGCCCACCAACTCACCACATCGCCAGTGAAGGAGTTAGGTTTAGCGATGATTTCGAGTTCTCCGTGATTCTTGAGGGCCGCAAATGAAGAAGTCCATTTGTACTGCTTTGCTAGTATGTTATGCATATCCGATCTAGACAAAGTCTAATTGGAATACGGAGTGTCGGTATTTGATGTACCGGATGTCTGTCGCGGTACTCTCGACCGAAATCAACTTCAAGTGACGGACCCGAATAGCCAATGGGTGAAGGTACCGAGCGGATAGTTCTGAAGATGTCTCAAGCAAGGCACACTCGGACTCGTCTACGGCGGATATTTACCGAATCCTACAGGATCTACCCGCCCAAGGGTCATGTTGTCATGGCATCTACCGCTGCACCTAGTGGCCACAATTAGGCGATCGTATAGAAGTAATGGTGTTTCTCGACCCACCCCAGGTACCCTACCGAGCAGGTTCTCACATAGCACGGCGCACGACCAGAGTAGAGTTGATTTCTTTGGCATCTTACGAGAATTGGAGAGGGCGTAAAGGTGATTCTCATTTCTTTCCAAAATCAGATCCTAGTCATGTGGCCTCGTTTGGGCAGACATGCTGTACTTCTCATATCTGCGGATTTGCAGCGCAGTCGGGAAGAGTTCTCGAGGATTTTGTAGGGCCTAAGGCCATTAGACGACCGCTGTCCTCATTCGATCTGGACGAGAAGGCTTTGGTAAGAGAGCACCTGCACCAGAAGGATTTTGGGGTCCGGGGGAGGAAGGATCTTAAGCCACACACCCGGAACCACTTGGACATAGTTAGCCTCGCATTACAGGGGCTTCGAACCCAATTGCAGATAATTTATTCGAGAGGTTGTGAATGGGGATGGGCACTTGTGAGCTAGGACACTTATGATGGAGAGGAGGTGACTTGTTTCAGGCCTAGTTTATCCATGCGACTGCCACTCATCCCACTAGAACACGCCGCAGTGGCAAATATCATTGTGCCACCACCGCTTAAGACACATATCCACCCCGTCATCCTGAAGGGAAGCTTTGTTGCAGGTCTTGAATGAAGGAGGAGACTTGAACTTTAGGCAAATTGGGGGAGATGGACGCCATTTCACAGGCTCAAATTCGCAAAACTCACCTTTAGGTCGCAATTAAAGCCGCTCCTAACAGAAATACCGCCTTATATAAAGACGCGCGATAAAAAGCACCGGTAAGGAGTGACCAAGTTGGAATTCAAGAAAAGAATTGGCGAATACAAAAACTCAGGCACCTACGCATCCCACCCAACTCCTAGTGAGCCACCTCAGTTATGGCTAATGTGGATGAATCAAACAACGCTTGATGCCAAGAAAAAAAAGCAGTTTCCTCCCAACAACTGAGAATGAGTGACAACAGCATCAGTTTCATCTTGTTCGAAACACAAACATCCAACAACCAACTACCAAGCACGTGAACACGCGATACCGAACCTCTGTGCTATTCAACATCTTCCGTATGTACGTCGGCGATGTTTACTTGGCCTCACCACTCAGGGTCTTCATCTCCAGACCCGCCCTCATCTCTGCATCTTCTTTCTCTAACAACTTGTGCCCTCCGCTCCAAAGTCCCAATTTCCTTTTCACTGCCTTCCAACTTTCGATCGCGCCTATATAGACAGTGACACAGGAGAAGCTAATCCCCCATTCCCAGCCAATGGTCTCATGTTTGAAGACCTCTCGATTAATAATCGGGATGTAGATAATCGGGAACATTATTGTAAACCCCGCAACAACTGCCCAGAAGAGGAAGCGGTTTCGCCAAACGGTTGGGAAGACGGAGAGACCGGGTAGGAAGGAGGATTTAGTGTTAGGGTAGAGGTTGAACAGAGAGCGGGAGAAATGTTTGACTTCCCAGGCCGTGACAAGGAGAAGGAGGGTGATGGTGGCGTACGTGGTTGCGCGAGCGCGGAATACAATTCCACACGTCTCGTTCCAGCCTTCGTTACATCCGCTTCCGAGATTGCCACCTCCGGGTCCGATATACGCGACAAGGGAGAAAGATGCCAGACAGAGGGAACCCATGAAGAATCCGTAGATAAATTTGTCCGTAATGAGTTCCTTCGTGAAGACGCCAACTTTGAGGTCATGAGGTGGACGGAACATGATATCTGATTGGGATTCTTCAAGACCGAGGCCGATGGCGAGGAAAGAGGAGGTTATGAGGTTGACCCAGAGTATCTCAATAGGGGAAAGTGGGAAGACAGAATGGTTGTCGTTATCTTTGAAAGCGAGGCCGATGAGGAGAAGGATGACTTGGGCGATATTAGAGATTAGGAGGTGCATGAGAAACTAAACAAATCAATCAGAACCTAGAGGCAAGTAGAGGTTTGAAATGAGATGGTATACCTTCTGGATGTTGTCAAATAATCTCCGGCCCTCCTCGATCGCCTTCACAATCGAGGCAAAATTGTCGTTCGTAATAATCATCTCGGCAGCATCTTTTGCGACATCACTTCCCGTTCCCATAGCCATACCAACGTTTGCTTTCTTCAGCGCAGGTGAATCATTCACACCATCTCCAGTCATGACGCAAAATCTCTGCCTTCGCGCCATCGCATCCACCATCTTCACTTTAGAGGCTGGACTGCATCGCGCCAACACTAAGGGGAGGGTTGCCAACTTATCAATGGCTTCGTCGCTCATTTGATCGAAATCCTTGGCAAGAATGACGGCTGAACCTGCATCTGCGTTTGGGGCTGTGGTGTTCAGGATGCCAACTTCACGCGCGATGGCCATAGCTGTCCCATGGTGATCTCCAGTGAGCATGTGAACAGTGATTCCTGCCATTTGGCATTCCCGAACTGCTCCCGCAGTCTCTATACGAGGTGGATCATAGATAGCGACGAGCCCAAGATAATCGAGGTCTTTCTCAACTTCCGAACGCTCTCCGACGTCTGTGCCTAAAGATAGCCTCCTGTGGGCGACACACATGACACGGAGGCCATCGTCAGCCATCTTTTCCGCCTGGTGGAGAATAGCAATCCGCTCGCTTTCGGGGATCTTGAGAATCGGAATGATAGACTCGGGAGCACCCTTGGTGTATACGTTGAGGCGGCCGGCCTGATTATCTTTGTAGATAACCGTCATCTTCTTCACTGTCGAATCAAAAGAATATTCCGCGACGTGAGATAAAGGGAGCGACTCCAGCAGGCCGGGATTGCTCATTTCAAATCGCATAGCGAAGACGTGTAAAGCAATCTCTGTAGGCTCCCCTTTAGCAACCCATTTATTTTTCGTCTCAGACCCGTTCTCGCTCGGTGAAGTAGGACGACTTGATACACTTGATTGTCGAGTTGAAACATCAGTGTCGTGTTCGTCATCATCTCTGGCATCGCTCATTGCTTCGCTGTCTTTAGGTTCATCATTGAACTTCGAGGGAGGATCGCTAGGAGCCATAATGGTGGACAGGTTACAGAGTGAAATGGTGTGAAGAAATGTTGTTAGTAGAGCGTTTGGTCTGTAATCCTTCATGTCGATACGCTCATCATCTAGCCTAACGTATCCGCTCTCAGGGTCGAAAGGATCTGTAGTGTCATGTACCGAAATTGTTCCAACACCAGGGATGAGTGCCTTGCGAGTGATCATTCGGCCCTGCGTTAACGTTCCTGTCTTGTCAGAACAGATGTTTGTGACACCTCCGATCGCCTCAATTGACTGAGTCTTCCTCACAATGACCTTTTTGTCTGCCATTGATTTGGCTCCAACAGCCATTGTGATTGTGAGAACTGCGATAAGGGATTCTGGAATTACGGCGACGGCGACACAGATACCATAGATTAGGACCTCTCCACCAACCTGCCATTTATTGGCAGAAAAGACGACAATGGCTAGAGTGATAGCCAGCCCGAATAGTAGAAGAGCAAATTTACTCAAGGAGACCTGAAGGGGAGTGCCTTCCAGACCGAGGATCGTCTTCACCATCTTGATGAATTTCTTCCAAATTTCGAAAAGCCGCCCTCTCTCTTTAAAGTCATCGCCGACTTGCTGAAGCATGTGGGCAATTTTGCCAACTTCAGTTTGCATTGCCGTGGCAGTCACAATGCCAGTGCATCGTCCACCTTTCATTTCACTTCCAGCGAAGGCCAAATTCGTTCGGTCACCAGTAGGTAGATCCTCGTCGAGAAACACCTTGAATGGCGTCTTTTCGACTGGCAATGACTCTCCGGTAAGGAATGCCTCATCCGTATACGCATTCATTCCGTTGATCAGCCGCAGATCAGCAGGAACGATGCTACCAACGTCGAGGGAGACTATGTCGCCGGGAACAAGTTTCTCTGCCTTGATCTTTTCAAACGTACCATTGCGAAGAACATTAGATTCGGGCGCAGTGAGACTCTTGAGTGACTGGATTGTCTGCTCTGCTTTGTAGTCTTGGAAAAATCTGGAGAAGTCAACAAATGGACTACGGAGGAAAGCTTGCGACTTGCCCAACGATGACATTAAGAAGAATAACTGCGGTAATAACACCACCTTCGATGTAGTCATCGATACCGAAGCTGAGTCCCATGGTGATCACAAGTACCTATGAAAATTAGCGCCTGCCTGACCACATATTCCTTTCTTCAGTCGATATCCAAACAAAGTATATCTATCGAATTTGATGATTGCTGATAGGATGTGTCACAAACTTTGAGAGAGAGGCTTGTGTCGAACTTCTATTCCCTCGCATCTGACATGTGGGCAAATATTGGCGAAGTGCGCGTAGAGATTCCCGGATCTTCATATTTTCAATCTGTTCACTTACAAGAGTCAAACTGTTCGACACCTGCCTCAAGAAAATCTCCCACAAGGATAGCCCTTCAGCTCCTTTAACCGTGTTAGAGCCATACAGCCCAAGACGATATTCCGCTTCGGTGACGCTGAGTCCATTGCTGTTAGGTAATCAGTGAGTTAGGTACATGTAATAAATTTAGCATGTTCCATACGTAATGTCAACGTCCAGTGCTTGGGCGACTTGCGCTGGCGTGAGGGTATGAGGAACTCCGAGCGGTGCCGGCACTTTTCCATTGCGTGCTTGGGGCTGCAGCGTTGGTTGTTGACGTGCAGTGTTTGATCCATGATTATTGCAGCTTGATTGGGTTCGTATAGGAGGTTCGGCTGCCTCCTCGACAGTAGGTAGCGTGCTCTCTTCACCCATTCAATTAGAAATAGACACCAAAATTGGTTGTGGGAGAGAGGAAAAAAAGTTAGCGGAGTGCAGTTATAAGCGTTTGTGTACCGTTAGAGTGGGGTAACACATGACACGCCAGGGAGCTACGTGGATCCTCCAAGCTCGGCGAGTGCATCCGCGACTCTTGGTAATTTGCCATTCTCGCCTCACTCTCACTGGTAAGGGCCACGGGGATAGGAGCACAACCCTGCGTCTCCCCACGGAATGGCTTCCCCCTGTGCGGCGATTGGAGAAACCCTGCAAAGAGGCGTGAAAGCAGAGCGTGGAGGGAACGCATACGACACGACAGTTGCGAAGAAGCCGCCAAATGGATAGAGTAGACACTAGTTCTGGGAAAGATGATAAGACTCTTGGCTGGTTATAGAGGCTGGCTCCAAGAACCTTCTAACACCCTTTGTGTCTTGATCAAAGGTATCGATATAACACAGCCACGATGCCGAGGGCTTGGTGGTGGGCGATTGAGCGATCGTCATGTTTGCTCGATGGACTTCGTTGGAGATCCGACGGTACGGCGCCAGAGGTGCGAGGTGCGTGGCGTGTGGCCAATACCCGATAAACTGACCTGTCAGGGGCTGTCAGCGAGAAGAAGCGTCGCTGCAACGCTCTCCAACGCTCCCATAAGGAACAGGATGCCCTAGTAGTTGTAATAAGAATACAAACGTCGCTGCAAACGGAGTAGGTGAAGGTCGGACGTCTGGTAGGTGGTTTATGGTTCATCCGATCCGAAAGTGCGACCGAAATGCCTCAGTCACGTGGAGATAAGATATAGCGAGCCTCGGCTCAAAGTGATCTTGGATCTTGGCCATCAAGGTGTCACTTCACAACATCATCAGCATCTTGTCACTGTTATCAAGGCAAACCGAGAACAATTTTAAATTCATTACATCCAGAAGCGCCAAATGACCCTTATGATGCTGTTTTTTCCGACCCTTATGTTTCTCGTGAAATCGTAGCGCCCAACGGCCGGCCCCTCTATCAGCTCTCCCTGTGCGCCTCGGCTTCAGAGACGTCTGATGAACGACGAGGGGCAAGCTGTGTATCTGCTTCCGCCAACGCAGCCTCGAGGCTCATGTTGAAGGTTGCTGCAAGATATTGAGCGTAGCGTGTTCGATATGCCGACGCCATGTTGTCGGTAGACTTGTACAGCTCCTTTTTTGATGAAGCGCCTACACATGCATTAGACGAAAAGCCTCCACCTGAGTGGTCATGTATACCCGATGCCGGAACGAGAACTATCGAGGGCGGGCTAGGGGATGTCTTGGGAAGAGACGAAGGAGATGTAGAGAAGGGAAGATGAGGCATGATGGTGAATGTGAATGTGAGTGTGATGGCGAGGTGAGGGTGATGGTGATGGTGATGGTGATGGTGATTGTGATGGTGATGGTCCTGAGGTCAAGCAAGTGTTGCTAGATGATAGCTCTCTGAGATTGATATTTTCGTTGAGAAGGATCAGGATAGAGTTGTAGGTGAGTTTCGAAGTTGATCAATGGCTCCTTCTAGCAGAGCAGCCGCTCTCTTTATATACGGACACGACAGATCCAGTTTGAAGTACGTACCTCTCACCGCAACACCCGACGCAGCACGAATAGTCGCAGTCTAACGATAAGTTCGAATCGGAGACCGACAGGGATGTAGTGGCTGATCACGATCATAACCAATTGTTACAGCATTATTGGCGGCTGTGTTATCACTTTATGCACCTTAATAGGAGCGTGACCCCAGCGGAGGCTAGCATGAGCCATTTCCTGATGCTTCTCCACACACCACCAGAAACCGCGCATCCGGGCGCCCAATGTAAAGTCTGGGGAAACTTCAGGGGCAACGCTGTTGATCCAAACCTTTACGGGCCACATGCAGTTTTGGTTCCCTGCTGTCGACCATGTTTCACCAATTGCCGTCTTTTTGATTTCTGCAGGTGGATTTGCATTACTCGAGCACGCAGATGGCGTCCACGATACTTGGCCAGGCGTCCCTTCTCACGATGTTGTCTCCTTCGTCTTCACTGCTGATGTTGTATCCTTTGACTAACGCCGAGACACGCTGCATGTTCGTGTCAGCTGTTGGGATGCAAAAGCAAGAGAGGCCGCCACGTCTCCACCCTACCGTCACACCAGCCACGCATCCAATAGTGTCCTCCAGCTGAGCGATGACGAACCACGGCAACACAGTGGACGCTGCCGTGGTTAAACCAAAATGAGCGGCTTGCCTGTCCACACCTGCACGCCGCCCAGGCCGATCCAGTCAACGGCCGTGCCACCCCCGATGTGGTTTCTAGAACACAATGTGGACACTTGTGATGAAAGGGCATGAAGAGCTTCCTCGAGACCTTTCAAACCGGTTTTCTATAGCCTGTTTCAATGCTGCATCCGTCTGCATATACCTACCTTAGGCGCTCCTCAAGCTCGATGTTGTAGTTCAACTTTAGCCGCTGCAAAGTGCGGTTGTATCGTCGAAAGAATCCAGCACCTTTATACGTCAGTGACCCAGTCTATTGCGCAAAGCGTGCTTTCGACATTTCAGGGGTCGGGTTCACGACACTCAAGCGACCATGGTACATGGCATGATACCATTTCGCAGCCCACATCTCTCGCGATCTGGGGCGGAATTACGGCATAGAAATGGTTTAGAAGATGGCCAAATGTCACAATGTCAAGACACGTCGTTCTAGCGAATTCCTCGCGTGTGGCCAAGGTCACGAGCCCCGTGCGACACTACGGTGATCGTGAGGGGCTTCCAGCCCTAAGATCGCTACATTCGGCTGCTCTCCTCACGTCCGGCGAGCTCCTCCGATCTAACCACAACGACTCGTAGAGATCACCTCTTCGTTGGCCTGGGTCACTACAGGTCTCGAGATGTGATGCTTTCCAACCTCTGTTCTCTTGCAGCATCCGTCCAAGGTTCACTCAAGTCACTAGGATCCCATCAGCAGTACAGTTCTTGTTCACTTTTAGTTCCTTCGTCTGCTAAAGTTTCGTTGTATATCATACGACCCGAATTAAGCTTCAGGTTTCACTTCTTGTATATCTTTATCGCGGCTCTCTCCCCAGCCCTCCCTTTTTATTAGCTGCTCCTCATCTTGTTGGCCACGGACTAGAATGAGCCATTTTTCGAAATGCACTGACACCTCCCCAACGGATGGTCGATCTCCAACTCTAATCCAACTTCAGTCTCTCCCAGCCAGAGGACCGACACACAAATACAGTGGACACATGCATAGTCTCTAAATCGCCACTTTATAGGTTCCTGGCTATGCGCTCTTTTTCTAACTGGACCATCGATCATCTTCCCATGGAGGGCGATTCTAGTCGAGACTTCAACGCCGCTGTCAGCTTGGATATCATGCATCGTCATCAGCATCTTCAGCCATGCGCAACCACTTCGAGCACCCATCTGTCTTGGGTATATTTAATAGGTTGATCAAACCGCCATTGGGTATTTCGGTAATGGGTGTTGTAAGACTTCATCAATCTAGCATTAACGCAATCTTTGGCTCATGCAAGAATCCCTTCAAGACATGTGCTCACTCGGGTTACCAATGATCTAACCCCGCGAACATCGGCGGTAGGCCCCACCACCTTGCATGGCGTCTATTTTTTTTTTGGAATGAGGCAACTACTCGCTTGAGCCAACAATCTTATCAGACAACTTTCCCCCGCCCGGAAAAAAACTCTTCACGGCCTCTTCAACCTGTGCTTCGCTCTGCCAAATCGTACACCGCTGCGCTATTTTCATATTCGATACCTCGCTAGCTCCATGCAAGATAATTTTCCAACAAGCTTATCTGCATGTCGACCATTTGGGGCAGCCTTCTTCACACGTTCACGAAAAGACGCGGTTGATTCGTGTTCTTATCTTTCTGGCCATGTTTTCATCCTAAATTTGCTCCTTCGCAGACTTACTACCGAAACGGGGCCTCCGGGGCTAGGGGCCAATTGTCAGAAATGTTCCGGTCGTGGGTGAAACGGGTTCATCCTTTGAAAAGTTCAGCTTGAGCATAGTTCTGCTGAGTGCTCATAAGCGAAATCAATTGGTTTTCAGGACCTGGGGTATTCCAATGAGGGCTTCTTATTCGATCTACACCCAGGTCTATGAAGGACATCTCTTGGTGGACCTTTCCGACAAGCAAAGGTCAAGCTGGTACCCACACTTAACGTTGCCGCGCTGAAGCCTAGTTGTATGCGCCAGGATAGATGTACGTCTGAAAGATCACTTGGCTCTCAAATCACGCCCGCCCTATCCCCAAGGCACAGACTCGATCAGCAGGAAAGCCTTTATGGGACATCTGAGGATGCATTGTTAAGTATGTTCCTTTTTCGCGTAGAGGTTTCAGCCTCAAAGCTTGCACTAGGCATAGCGTATCTCTGACTCTTCAACGCGATGAACATTCAATTCGTATTTATATAAGTGGTATTTCTAACCCTGTGCAAGATTTGTTGTTTCTCCTCAGTTGCACTAACCACTGCGGTGAGCTATGACACTTCTATGACACTTGATTTCAAGCCACTCAGTCTTGCCCCTCTCCGAAAGAAGACACGGCGTCAAAATGAGTCCTCTATCCTCCAAAAGCTCGTCGTAGTTCTTTACCAACCCAAGAGGAATGCGAAATTTAATTTACGGCCACACTTGGTCCAGTACCCTCACACCTTCAATGAGAACAGATTCGAGATATTTATCCACTACGGATCGTACAGCTATAAGAGCGATCGCAGCCCATTCCCGAGAGGGCTTCCACTCTGTCTTCTTACCCGCAAACAGATTCTCTACGAGGCCATTAAAGAATTCTACCAGAAGGCCCGGTTGGCCAATTACACCGAACCTGATGAACATGACGAGTCCTACAAATCAACTAACGACTTGATCTCACTTTCTAGATTTCGTGAGGTTGGCCATAGCTATATCACAGATGCGATTGCTTTGTCGGTTAAGGGCATTGAGGACTAGGATCAATTTAGTTCCACTTCAGTTACAGCAACGTTCCTCCTAGATAAAGAACCAGATGAGGGACTGGATTGGGGAGATCTGGAGCCCGGGAGCTCTGAGTCCCCAAGACGTTAATCATGATTGACATTTTTCGGCGCAGTGGGCCTCATAGGGACTGCCGGATTCTAAAATAACGCATAGGGGTATTCTATGCTTCCGTGATGCCAACGGCTGCCCTCATTAAAGTTTCAGATCCACGCGATGGACGAGTTTCATTCAGGCGTGAAGATAGGAAGCAGGTAGTTCGTCCTCCTGTGCTTCTTTCAACTCACACTTCTCTTTTGCTACATTTTGCAGGACAAGGGTGGTTACTACTGACGAGCAACGCATTATATAATTTGTTATGAGCAGTCGCCTCTCTCCAAATCCTATGCGTGGGGATAACTCCTCTGATCTGTGGTGGCTGTTGTTGCTTTTTCCAGCTGTTATTTCCTTTTGCCAAAATTGTGTTAGTAAAACCCTCATCCTCAGTGCACAACACTCTTTCGCTCTTCCTCTACTTAAATATTAAACTGAAGCTCTTCAAATATCATTCCGCAATGGTGTCCGCCGACAGTGCTCTAAGGCTAGGCCCCTCGTCGTTCAACCCGAAAACTATACCTGCAACCTCCTCCCTTTTCTCCAACCTACCTCGAGAATTACGCGATCGAATATATGAATATCTTCTCCATGGATCATGCTTCCAATTTCTAGAGCATATTCTACTTGTCGTTCTCGCAAATGATGGCTCTGATGGCTCGGTTAGCGGTCTACCACTTTGGCTCCTCACAAACAAGCAAATCCTGAGCGAGGGACTCTCTGAATTTTACCGTCATGCCCGTTGCATCCGGACTTCTATGCGAAGGGATGTTCCTCTGAAATGGTGCAACCAATGCAAGCCAGCCTCCGGCCAGTATTCCTTTGGCGATGCGCATCTTCTAAGAGTACATCAGATCCAAACGATTGATCTTGACAATATTGAGTTCACCTACTATACCAAGTATCCAGAAGGCACACCAGCTACTCTTTTCCTCAATCGTGGATACCCGGTTCTCCCATTAGACCATTGGCTACGGGGTCAACGACACTCCCTAAAGAATCTTAAACTCACGTTTCTTATTGCAGGGTCTTACCCTTCAATTTATAATGCGGAGGAATGGAAAGTGGACCTCTCCCCTATGAGATATTTGGGTACTCCAGCGAATGTTGAGTTTACCATTAAGGAACCGAGATTGCTCAAAGGAGATATTGGCCACGTCCGCGCGTGTGCTGCGGTTCTACAACTTCTTCAAATGGAGTTGGAATTTATGGCTAAGAGTTTAGTCGGTGCGGAGAAGAGCGGATGCGTTGTTAAAGATTGGATCGCTCTAAAAGGCAAGTCCGAGGGCCAGTATGAGGACACTTGGGAACATGAATGGCATCTACGAGTGAATCGAGGAGTAAATCGAGCCGAGCGAAGGGAGGTTGATAACGTTGGACTGCTGTTCTGGAAACTATATTCTCACCCAGACCAAAGCTACGAAAGAGTGAAGGGGAACCAGGATGGATGGATGGAGTGGCGTTGTAAGAGGACAACTGATAGAATCAGGGTAGAGGTGCCTGATAGCCGGCGCCTCACTCAAACCTCGCAACATCCTAATACAGAGGTTCGAAACCTTATTATAGCGTAATGTAAGGAATATTAAGGCGTTACTAAACCCCTCTAACTTTTCCCGGTGTGCCCTCGCGAATACTCTCAATCCTCATACGCCACAAAGGCCTCTTTCAATTCTCTGAACCCCTTCGTGGCTGGTCTTAACATCTTACACTTGGATCTTCCATCCAGTCCTTAATACTCCGTCCCTAGCTTAATCTTGTGTCTTCTGCGACACGGAAGACTTCATACTAAGCATTTGTATGACTTCAGTATGCACGGGAGGGGTCGGCGTGTGGATGGGTGGAATACATAACGAACCGAGGATTCAAAGCAAAGGTCATTGTCGAGGGCAGTGATTGCAACTCGGGTACTGCGTAATGCCAAAATGGGTATTTTGAGTAAACCCTCAGACGGCTACTACGCTGCGTGGTCCTATACACTAGGGAAGTTTGATGCTTCGCTGATGACGGAACTGTGTCAAGAAGTTATTTATTTATGATCTTTCATATTGAATGAATACATCAAATCAGAAAACTGTGCTTAGAAAGTAGTGCTAATAAATTTAGCTGAGGATTTCAAAGGCAAGGGGTCAGAAATTTTGGCTGGTGGCCGTGGTATTGGAATGAGGATTCCGCGCTACAAGTACAGTAGGCTACCCAGGTAAAAGAAAAGTTGAGTGAGCTTGTTTCGATGGTAGGGTCGTGTGTAGCGTATCATGTCTGAGTGAACATGGTCGATATGGATCTTCTTGAGAGGATGTGTCGAGCGAGTCTTCACATTTTATTTAGTGGTTGCGGGAGTGTTATAGAACGAGAGTCAAACGAGACTAGCCTACAACTTAATTTCTCTAAACAGCGTTGAATTAAGAGTTAGCATTGGGGATATCTCGGCAGCTAGTAAGACTGATTATTCATCATATTGATACCTATCCGTAACCAGGCCAAGTCACTATCTACAAGTGCCTGTACCCCTCTATGTACCATGGGTGCCCTAGAGGCTCCACATCAATACAACGCACTTCCGCTGCACCACCACCAGGCTTACATTATCTGTCGCTGTTGTTACTACTTCGTACCAGATTACCATTGTTGCATGTTACCATTAGTGGGCCAAGTTTGAGCCACCCAAATCAAAGACATGTAGCAGATATTGTAGTGCTCTAAGAGACACAGTGTGCTGTTTGATGACCCTTCATAGAATTTCTCGTCAGCAAGTTCCTGCCTCTAAATTATGATGCAGACGTTCTGATAAAGATAGGAATGAAATGGTGCATGTTGAAAAGGGTGCTGTTATGAAGGCCTCAGGCCTAACTATATCCTGATCCACTACCTTCTGCCTACTTATAAGGGAATGACTGTGGCGCAGGGAAGCTGCTGCAAGTCATTAATGATAATTGTAGGAGTTACTAACCCTTGAGTCAACCATGAAGCTTCTTTAGATAAGTCTCGGTCATTATTTGAATCTGAAGCACTGGAATGAATTGGATCACATTTGTAGCTTTTCGCACTCAATTATAGGAGCTAACGCCGAATTAGGGCAAAGCTAACCTGATCTTTCGCAGATCCCAATGCGATCTATATGCCCCGCCATCATTTCAACCCCATTCCTGTACCTGATTTTCCCTGGTATCATATCCCGTAACACTCTTGTTAGACAACTAATAGTTTAACTATTTCGGTGCTGCCCCTACCTAGCTATAGTCTTCACACCAGAAATGCCATGCATCTTGTAAATTGAGCTGACCCACCCTCGGATTGCCCCAGGCGGGGGTATACAGCATCTCTAGCTGGAGCCGACTCAAGTTTGGAAGTTTCATCCAATGAGTCTTTTGGCAACAATTTGGGAGAAGAGCGTAAGGGTCTCAAAAGGTTTTAATTCTGTGGTGTTGATTTTCTTTTTGTTGAAGCTTCATTCTCAGGATTGGACAGTGAGTGTTGAAGAACTGAAGAGTAGCAAAGGAGAAAGAGGGGGTAGATATTCTCTTATTGCAGGCTCCCTCCCAAATATCCTACGTGTCTCACTCCTTATATATATATTGACTAATGCATCATGTTTATCCTCCCCTGTTTCATCGCGCTCATTCAGTTTCCTTTTGAGCTCCTCAGTGTTCCCTGTCTCGAATCAACAGCTACTGCAGTAGAAGTGCATACAATCAAATCCTTCATAAAGAACCCAAATATCAGCCTGGAAGGTTTCTGTTGAATCATATGCAGCAGTACAAGGCCCTGAAGGGGAGTCGGGACAGATATTCATCTCTGAAAGGCGGTTTGACCTGACGGTAGAGAGACATGATATTCTACGCCTGATAGATTCGGTGGCGGTCTCTGAGGGTTAGAAGGAAACTGATAGGATTGATATAAATATGTGCGTTGAAATTGGCATATAGCGAGAGAGGGATCACAGGTTAGATTGGGAGCAACCCTCTCCGTGACTTCTTGTGGTAGTATATTTTCCGTCACAGTTGGTGTTAAACTGCATGAACACGCTTATAATACGTTTCCCGAGTTCCGTCCCTAAACTTGAACTTCCATGCACTCAAATGCACGCAAGGAAATTCAACTAAGCGTTCTTGAAATTTTAGAGGATGTGGTGGTAAGGTAATTGAGGTGTCGCTATCCAAACTTAACGAAACATCTTAATTCTCCTTTTCGAACCAGACTGCTTGATACTGACGGATTTCATGGGATTGCTTGAGGCGAAATTCGAAATGAAATAGTTTCTTCCTTCTCCTCTAGATGAGGTTGTCCCCTGAAGAGTAAATGCACACATAAAACGTTGTTCACTATTTTATGATAGCGCAGTCGTAAGGGGACAGTGAATTGTTCCAAGGGACAGGATTTCTTGTATAATCTTAGAATAACGGCTGGGGCTAAGAGTGGGAATACCACACATGGTTTCCAAATTTAAAATCTATTGTATGCAAAAATCAGAGCATATCTTAGCGTTCCTTAGATCTTTTTTTCCCTCACTAAAATTATATAGGGTAACTAAATTTTAACAGAATTCTAGATAAATTAACAAATTCTTTCTAAAAACATTGTTAGTAGGTTAAAGCCTTAAGTTTATATAAAAAATACTGTTCTTAGTGCTTTTTTTAGAGTAACAGGACAACAATAGGCCTAAATTAGAGGGCTAGAGCAGCCCTATCCCCCTAGATAGATCAGATTAACCTAGAGAGCAACCCACTAGCCTATTCTACGCGGGCAAGGGCGCAGGGCCTGTCAGAGAAGCCTAAGGAGCCTGCTAGTAGTAATAAACAGAAGCTAGCGCGTGGGGAGTTAATTTAGCAATAGGAGCAAGTAAAAGAAGCTTATTATATCCTAGCGCCTATAAAAAATCCTCTACATTTTAAACTGCATAAAAAAAGCAGTCTTTATAGTTAGTAATAGTAATTCTAGACTACATAAGTAGGAGAAACTAACAGATGTTTATATAAACACAATTATTAAGCCCTTAACTACTTAGTTTAATATACTAGGGTAGTTAGGGCTAACAAGGAAGGCCAGAGATGCTATAGGCGTGATACATTATAATCTAACGCGTTGTTACTCTTAAAAAAGTTAGTATATGTAACGGCACAGGCAAGACAATGGGTCCGAATGCGGTGGGAATCCACTCAGAGGCATATGGGAGTGCGTGGGGACTCAGAACCTGGGAATGCCATTGACACCTATAGGCCTTGTACGAAAGGATATCAGAAAACTACCGAGCTAGCTACGGGGGCGAGGTGCGACTAAATACATGAGGGAATAGGGGTAACAGCAGGGGTCGGGGCCAGGTCGGGGTCGGGGCCGATACGGGGGCCTTCCGGGCCATCCAAGATGGAACGATTCATGAGGATCGTTACAGTATACATGCTTCTCTATACGGAGGTGCTTCGCAAAAGTCAGGGCCGGTGGCCAGTGCACAGCCACCAAAACGCCTCTTCCTAATCAGGCAGGGGGCCCGAGCAGGTGCAGCGACAGCTCATTCATGCGCGATGCGCTGTAATATGAGGATTTGTATGTAGAAAACATTCCCCTATAAAGAGGGCGTCCTCTAGTAGCCTCTATTAACTTAAATTGCTATTTTTAGTAAATTATAGGAGCAAAGTATTTTAACCTAGCGACTAGAGCTTAGGTAGTTGCGCTCTGTACTAATAGAGGAGTCTTAATTAAAGCAGTTGCAGCAACTACTAGAGTCTAAGAGCGTACGCAGAGGAAGATTATACAACGCGCAAAGGATAGAGATTAGAAACCTGGAGAACCCCTGCTTAACAAACATCTTAAAGACGCTCCTAAACCTGGCGCTCTATTAAAGAGGACTCCCTCGCTTAACGCCCTTGTTGCTGCCACTGTACAGAAGGATTAGAATAGGCGTGAAATGTTAATAATGCAGCTAGAATAAGAGCTTAAACAGTAGGGTAGAGAGATTAATTACTCTACTATTTACAGGTCTCTAATTACTTAGGGATTTAAGAGCGTTAAGCTAACTTAAAAGCCTAGCCTTACTTTAAAGATAAGGAAGGATTAATTAGAGTTCTGCCTTTAACACTAGCACTAGAACTTAGAGCAATAGAAAAACGTTATATAGAGCAACAAAACTTCTATTATTATAAGGGTAAGGCAAGGCTCTGTACAGATTTAGAGACAGCCTGCTAAGAAGTACAACAGGACCTATATACAAGAGAGATAGAAGGGTTATAGTAAATTTATGTTTTAGGGCTGTTTTTTGTACAACTATAAAGGCCTCTTTTATATTTATAAGACAGAGACAGTAAAACAGAAAAAAAAGGCTTGTAAAGAAGTAGAGAAACTAAATAAGGCTTTAAAGCCTTTAAAGAAGAAGGAATAGAAGCTTAGTACTAGAATAAGAAGAGTTAGATTAAGAGGCGTACAAGGGCCTTGTCACGATTGTGCACAAGTAAGGTTATAGAGCTTTACAGAGGTCTAGTTTAATTACTACGTGAGGTATTATAGTAAGTACAAGACGTTGTGTGAGAAATAGAAAAGTTTAGAAGGAAATTAGTAATTAAATACTTAGCTTAGAAGTCTAAGCACTTTAAGTATAAATTAAGCCTATTTTAGGTTTAGTTAGTGTTAAAGCAGTTTATGCTTAAGTTTATGTCTATATTATATTATATTTATGTTAGATGTGCACTAATAATACTCTAGTACATGTCTAATATAGTTATATCTAGGATCTAAGGAGGATACTATAACAGTACCCCCCCTCTTATTAAAAAAGGAATCCTTTACATTAGTAGTTCTAGCATTAAGTTGTCTTTATTAGGGTATAAGTTTAGTTTAGATAAGTATTAGGTGTAGAATTAAGTTACTGTAGAGTTTTTTTATAAGGCTTTTATAAGTTCTTATAATAGTTTGTTGTATCTAGTTTATTTTATAAAGTATTTATAAATACATTTTTTTTATTAAACTAGATCTATTTAACATTTTCTATAATATATTCTAGTTTATTATTTATAATAATAAGTTTAGGTAGCAGGTTTAGCTGTTTAAGTAGATAGTTAGATTTAGAGGCTACTTAGCGCAGTAATAATATATAAAACACAGGGTGTATCTTTATGCTGTTAGGTAGAATTAATTAGTAAGTGTGTAATAAAACTATATAAGCTACTATAAAGGGGCTAAGGTTCTTTTAATTAAGTTTCTTTAATTATTAGTTTATTTAAATATTTCTAGTGTCTAGCTAGACCTTCTTGCTAGCTGCATATGTAGGGGCAGAGGTTTAAGATTAGTTTATGTACTTTTGTTAAAAAGCTTAAGCTTATATAAGCTTTTTATAAACATATTTAAATATATTTTAGATTTTATTAATAAGTCTATTTACATTTATTACTTATATAAATTAATAAGTTAGTTAGGGGGTATTTAAAAGTAGTTTAAATATTATTTAGAGGTAGTATTTATAGTTTGCTAAAAATAAAGATACTTATATTAATTTAAATGTTATGTTATTAGCTTTAAACTATGCTATAGCTAACTATTTTACCTAGTTATTTTGCTAGTAGTTTATATACACTTATAGAACTTATTTTATTATAGTGTTTACATTCTTAGTCTAGCTGTTAGTCTCTAGGTAAAAAGCTATAGATAGATAAAAGATAATTTAAAGCTATTTATAAAGTTTATTCTAGAAGGCTAAGACAAACTATGTACCTCTGTCTAATATAATTATGTTAGGCAGGCTATAGTAAACTTATACATATTAGTAGAATAACTAGGCTATATTAGAGGCAGTTATAGAGGAACATAGTATTAAGTGTTAATACTTAGTTAAGTAATTAATAACTACTATAATATTTATATACCTTTTAAATAAAAGTAGGTTTATAATAAAATTAATTAATATATCTTTTTAAGCTTATTTAGAGATTAAGAGTAGTTTAAGTAGGCTATTATACCTTTTTTAAAAGGCTTTTACTTTATAGTAAGTATAGCAACATAATACGTATTAGCGTACTATATAGAACATGCAGGGCTAGTAGTACTCTCTCTGTAGTAGGTTAAGAGTCTTTTCTCTGCCTAGGTGTCTTTTAATAGGTAAGTTGTGTATAATTTAGAGTAGTTTAATTCTTAGTTTATTAGAATTAAAAATTATAAGTTAGTTATAGTAATATAGCTTACTATTTTAGTTTTTATAGTTAGCTAGTGTTACTTTTTTTAACTAACTAGCGCTGTTTTAGAGCAGGTCTAAAGTTTCTTAGATAAATTTATTATTTAAATACTTATTAGTAATAATTTAATTAATTATCTAATTTATTTTATTTAGGTTAAGGTCTAAAAATA